AGAGGAGGAGGAGGAGGAGGGGGAGGGGAGGGAGGAGGGAGAGAGGGAGGGGGGAGGGAGGAGAGCGAGCAAGCCTCTCTTTGTGCAATCTTTGGTTTGCTAGGTCATCCAAAGGGGGCACAATGTAAATACCCAGTGGACTCGTTGGAGAATTCTCGGATGTGGGTTGCTCTCGTAACGAGCAACTTGCACCGGGAATGGGAGAGAGTTGCCTCTTCCCAGCTGCCAGCCGGTCTTTAAAAAAAAAAGCTGTTGGGGGTTATCATATGTTTGCTTGCCATGGTATCCCCATAGTCGGAAGTACCAATATCCAGTTGTGAAGTTTATTTCTTTTCCCAAAGAGTAGGATTTCCGGAAATGGTTTACTCACCTAGAGCAAAGTGACACATCCTACCTACTTCGTCTTAGCTCTGTGTCATGGGGGGCACCTAGCTAGAGGGCGAAAATGAGCATTGCCAGGAATAGTGACGTTCAGGAACTGATATTCTGCAGGTGTGACGTGGGCTTGTGTGTAATTCAATTTTTTTTTATTGCTAAAATATTTTATTTTTTGATGCAGACGTGTAGTTTTTCACTCCATATTTTACTAGCTTCGTTGGCAACGTGGTCCAAATGGTGTAGTTGCGATGATGCTCTCTAGGAAGGAGTAGGGAGTTACGGAGCCTTGGATGATATTAATGAATTTTCTAAAAGAAACAAGCATAATTTTTTACGAGTGTTTGCAATCTGGATATACAGCTGGTTTTTAAGTGCAGATACAGCAGTTGTTGAATAGCAGTTAATGGGGTCTAGTATGTGTGGTATTGCCCATTAAGTTTTATATTGAGTGTGTGAACCGTCTTACGGCGGGAATACCAGGGATGGGTTCCTTGGCTTTCCTTATTAAGGTTACTGGAAATTCCTCAAGATAAAAACCTTTTTGACTTCCTCTGATCTACACTGTATTTCACATTTTTATGACGGTGCGATTTATATCCATCTTTTCTTATATGTATGAACTTCTAACCACAGAAATTTGCCACGTGTTCAATTCGTTGGCAAGAATATTGAAACTTGGTCTCACTTGCGTATATATCGCAATCGGATACACATCTGTGGGCTTTTCAAGGCAGTTTTGCTACATCACTTACAGGTGTACCAAATTTTATCTGAAAACAGTTTTTATAGGGGGGTGGAATTCACACGAAGGTGCAACTTATATACCAAAACATGCATTACTTCGTTTCACCTCAAGTTCAAGCGAAGCCAATGCTACACCCCGAGAAACCGAATCAAGCAGCATCAAAAGTACAACGTCACGGAATTCGTAATATTTCTGTACATGTGCTGTCATCGGATAGACGAATCAAGTGCAGCAAATGTGCTGCGGCTTCTAGCTTTTAGCATCCGTGTTCGCGTTTGCATATGCCCAAGCCCTCGATTGTTTTCGGACTTTGAATGTACCAAAATAAACTAGTAGACTATTTCATCATATCAGGAGGGAATGGAGAAGGTGGGTGAGAGGAAAATTTCGTAACGGACAGATGCAGTTGCGCCGATGGCTTATCGCTCCCTAGTTACAATTGGACTTGTCACAGGAGCTAGCCACATGTGTGTTGAAATGCGCAAAGGGAGGTTGCTGAGCTCGTATGGCAAAGTATGCAGCCCGCCCGATGCGACAAAAAAAAAAGGCGACCTCAAACGCCTGGAATCGCTTTCCGAACGCCACTTAGTGTAGGGGAAGCCGAATGGGATTTTAAAAAAGTCACAAATATTGCATAGCTGCTTTTTACTGCAGTAAGTTTGCCTACCCTGAGGCAGTGACGTACGTATCCAGTCTGGAGTGGCAGTTCTGCTGGTGCAGCATGGCTCATAACGTTGGGTATTTATGTGCATTGCCTAGGTGCAATTAAATGCGTGCTGGCACGCTCGGTCATGTTGAAAATGGCAGAAAGAAGAATTTAGCTGGCGATACCCAAGTTCGCGGCGTGAGCTCTCTCTTCACATGTTGACTGAGGAGCTACGGTATGTTGAACTGGATTTTGAACCTCCTCGATATGGTGCAAAGTTTCAAAGTGCAGGCAATGAACGACTAAGGCCTGACGACAAAGACGAAACATAAGACAACGCTTTCGTCATTGTTGTCCATTTTCTAGTTTGGGAAATCGGTTTATCGGATGCTATTGCTTTATTCGTAGGACTTTTCACCTTTCTCGAATTACTCTAAGCACACATTTAGGAGTGACTCTTTGTATTTGGTGAGATTTTTTTTCTTGGTCCTTGCATAAGTTTGTTGGAATTGCTTGCAGCAGAAGAGCTGCTTTTTGAGGTTAGGCATTTGCACTGTTGTGACGAACTAGCCAGCTATTGTCGGAGATGGTTCGTTGTGTCTGTCACCGAGTAAGAAGTAACAAGAATTAATATTTTTGTGAAATCAGGCTCATTATTTGGAAGTGAGGTAACAGAAAACAGCACTGCAGTGCAACCTCGGGGACCTGTAAGAAAAATCCGCCTGGCAGAAATAGACTTCATCCAAAACTGACGCGCCCCATTGCGGCGAAATACCACGCAGTGCACTCTGGGAACTAGTTGGCCACTCAGTTTCGGTTTCAACTCAGCAGCTTCGTCTCATGCTATCACGCTGCGACTGAATGCGCTGTTTGCGTTTTCGATTATTTGTTTTTTTACGAATATACAATACACTCATTCTCGAGCGATACAAGACGAAGACCGAGGCACTTTCTCTGGTTCCCGAAACACCGGATATTGTGCATGCGTATGCAAACGTAGTAAGATGTGGCTTAGTCACCTCACCCCTTGAGTGCATCTTTGAGCTCAATGTCAGTACGTCTAGTACCAGTGAACTACAACTGAAATTCGGTCAGTTTGAGCCCTACACGTGTATTTTGTTTGCCCAACGTCCACTTCTTGCAACTTCATTGGGCGAAAAGCAAGCCACATCCTCACAGGAGTATCGAAGATGAGCCCAGTGTTGGCGCATGAAGTTTTAAGGAAACGCAATAAATTCGACCTCACTACTGCACAAAAGTTGCTATGATGTCTTCCTCGTGTCATCACATATCTCACACTCAAATGTTATGCTGATAGAAGATTAAATTTTCGCAAACACTGAGATCGGCTAGCTACGACGGAGGCTTTAACAAGCATCCCCTACTCCTCGCTAAGCCTTTTTGGACGAGCTTTTACTGATGCCTAAGATCTGTGCCTGAACGATGTGTCGGAAATTATCTCGGCATACTCAGTCAGGAAGAAAGCAAACACATAACAAATATTGTGGCCATTAGCAACCGTCAAATGCGCTTTGAATAATTTCGTTCGTTTGGCGCACCGCATAGGGGTTCATGCCCGTCCGGTGCACTTCCGGTGAACGGTGCGACATTTTCACACACGTGCTCGACTTTTGCTTTCTTAAAAACGGTTTGTATGTGCGAGTGTGCCTATATGATTGCAGGATAACTTTATGCACATATGCGATGTTGAATATTAGTGGAATGCAAGTGGGTGGGGACTTCACTTCGTGCGGGGCAGTGCAGATGAGAAATGAAAAGTGTGTTCAAATGGAGCTTTTCAGTGGCGACTCCGAGTTTTACCTCGCGTACTCAGGTGTATTAAGAAAAACAGTAATTGCAAAAAGTTATATTTCGTCTATGGACGCACGAAACAAACTTCCTGATCAACAACACTAATGTAAAGGTGCGAGCTTGATGTATGCATATTTATTGGTTGCTACAGCTTGTTGATTCGTACACAAGGAAGATACCCGAGCTTCGCAGCGTCGAGATTTCGAGCACTGGCTCGTCCACTTCCCTCGAAACGCTAACAGAAAGGCTCGAGTACAAAAATACAACAAGCATGCGTTAAGACAAGCTATACGTCCCGGGCTTGTGTTAAAGATCATAGGTCTGGCCATTTAGGTTAGTTTAGAGACCACAAATGATGCTCTTGGGACCAGAAAACATGATATAACAGCCGTTTATAGTCCACGCTCTGTGTATAATCTCTTGCCGAAGTATCGATCGAAACCGAAACCATGCCACTATCCTCCCTTGCCAACTAGTTCCCAGAGTGCAACATGCGCCGTGTTGCATGCAGGGATTTATGGAAGTAGTCTATTTTCTCTCTTTTCCCCCTGTGTCCCCGCTTGCCCTTCTGGTCCTTTTCACACAAAACCAGCCCCTTGACTAATCTTTTCCAGTCTTTCGAAATCCTATTGCACCCTACCATATGTGGTAGACAGAAAGTGAGCTTGGAAAAGGCAAGAATGAAAGGAGGAGCTAAGGTTCCCCCTTTCCACTTGCAATTAGGCCTCTAAAAAGATATGAAACATATTTCGTCAAATAAACATAGCCCACAAAAAAAAAAAGAAAAAAAAAGTGTAATATATTTGTTGCAAAATTTCTTTTGATCTAGGAGTGAATTCAAAACATAGCTTAGTTTCAGGGTCAACTTCTCGAAATAAAAGTATGTTTCGGAATTGCTTCTTACTGAGAATATGTCTTTTGACATAGCAAATATTGTGTCGAAAATGTTTTTTCTTGTTCCGGGAAAGTGTATTTTGTGATTCGTGTCTCCTATATCCAGAACTGAAACAAAAGTTTTGAGGGAGTAAAAAGTAATTGTGTTTCATGTAGGTTTAGACGGCAGGAAATTATTCGGCTCTAGTGGGCGCGTGGTGCCATCGCATAGCCGAGAAATATTGCCAGTGCGGTACTGCCACTAGCCCGGCATCTTTAGTCTGTATTACGCAGTAACGATAAACGAGGGCACGATGCCGTGGGGATTGAATGCAGGATCCCTGGGTCCTGCAGCAAGAGGTTTCGCTTTACGTGCTCCAAGCCACAGTGCGTCGACACACGCAGCCACCGATGCCCACTTTGGGGAGTCTGGCATCTCTTTAAGTGCATGAAAACTAAGAAATATGCTGTAAAGTGTCCGACAACCGTGTCGTTCGGCCTCCTTCACTGTGCCCAGTGTAAGAGCGTTCCCGTCTCGTTGTCCAGGGTTGTGTGAAAGCTACTTCCCGCTGAGGGCCGCCTGCGAGCAGCGGCTTCCGGACGGCACCTGCCATGGCAGCGGGGCACAAGAGCGGCGCTTCCCGTGAGATCGCGCAGCCCCAGGACCCGCACGCCCTTACGAGGTAACAGCCCTTTTTGAATCACTTTGCACGCAACATGCTCGGTGCACTGGCCACGGGAGAATGTGCGGACGAACGTGTTGGCACCTTGTCCGTTACCATCCACACTGAAGAAAATCGGCGTTTACTTGTGTCACTTCCAGATAACTCGTGTGATTATTTTTGGTGGGTAACGTTAAGCGTAGTAATTTCCTTCTGTAAATCTTTTTTTGTAACTAATGGTTACTTAGTGTATGTGCGAACAGCCTCCGAAGAAGACAATTATGTGTGTGAAGAAGAATTGTACTAAAGCAAAGTTGTTCGTTAAATTTTTGTCCCATTTCGTCTTTTTTTCGTTTGTTTCTGTAAGTTCAAGCTGACCCTTGACCAGCGTGTAGTCACTAGATCAACTAAGACCTGTAACCTCTTCCCAGCTCCAGAGCCAAGTCGTGAAGAGAAGCCAGTGCAAGATAGTCTGGTTTCCCCAACGCTCGCGCGGCATCAAGTTTGTCTCCTTTTAGACTCGTTCCACCACTGTGTCGGGGAACAGTTCATTTGCCTGAGTAATTTGGCATTGTGGGAGGGTGTTTCACCGTTCCATCGCCGCAGAGAACTTTTGGCTCATGGAGCGTCAGGGGTGAAACAGCTGCTGCATATGCGCCATTTTGCGCCAGACGCATTTCTCTGCGCCATCCTGTGCCATTTCGCAGAAACTGCGCCACAGCCAATACCTTGCGCCATTATGCACCAAGTCGCACAACGTGCGCCAAAGAAATTGTATTTTGTCTTGGTTTTGGTTTCTATCGACTTGATTGGCAACAATGAGTGCGTTTAGCTTGGTCGGCCTTGCAATCCTTTGTTCTGTTTATTCTCCCTGTGTATCCCGAGTCGGAAGTGCGTGAAAAAACTCGGGGGTCGCATTCTAAGCGCTACACCACCTGCGACTGGATTGTTATTCTTTAACCATAAGCGGTTAAGCAAGTCGGCCGAGGAGAGGTCCAGTCGTTAAGCATCAGATTGCCTGAGGCTCTGCGGCCCGGGATCCGGACGTCAGCCTGTTGAACACATTAGCAAAAGATTCCTTTGAGTACTTCATCGTTAAAAGTTGGAACCGCATTCCCGCAAGATAAATCGTGATTTGATAGAACTGAAACGCGGTCCGATCCGAAACCTTGCTGGCCAGCAGCTCTCACTCGAGCGGTAGATCTGCTCGGCGTACTTTAACCTTGCTCCTGCTTATCGCTTCGAATACAATAACTCCGTTAATCGTAGTCTGCTACTTCGACATTGAGTTGCACAAAAGAATAAACTCGAAATTTGTTGCCCCGCTCCTCCGTGCAACTGCACGTCCGTTGCTTACGCACGTCTTGTGGTTCGCACATATAGTGTAATTGCTATGTCGAGCACGTGTGGGTTGTGCGATAAGCAGTGCTGGTTGGCATTTTGAGTAGCTGAAAGCCACTCAGAAAATTTAAAGGACACTATCTTCAGAAACATACGGTATTTGCTTTTTGGTTCTCATTAAGGCTCACAAAGTTTCAAGTTTTCGCATTTGTTACACTGTTATCCCATCTACCCAGGTTCCTAACCACTCATATTCATCTGTGTTGCTAAGCACAATTGAAATTGCTCCTATGCTTGTCTAAGACACAAGCTGAAGTGCAATGAAAAGTGATCAGAGCTGCTCCTAGCCTGCTCCAGAATGTAGTTTTAGCTGCTCCCAACCTGCTCCAAAACAGCTCAGCTGATCCCAAGGCTGCTCCCAAGTACTTTTAATGAGTTCCACCCCCGAGTGTCGTGTTAACCCTTTAAGTGCCTTGGACGAGCTGAGCTCGTCGGCCACTTTTTGGCTAAAAATGCCGTGGATGAGCTCAACTCGTCCAGTGGTTCTTTCGGTAGCCCTCAATTCCACGAACGAGGTAGGCTCATCCAAGTAGTTTGCGGCGCTGATCATAGATGGCAGCACTCGTTTTAGTTGGCGCATTTGTTTTTTCGCCGCCGCTGATTTTTGCGTAATAAAGTTTTAAAATTTTATCTTTATTACTAGAGGAATAGAACTTATAAATAAAAAGAAGATATGGCACTTTTAGGTTACTTTTTGAAAAAAAAGGGGTTAAAGTGCATCCTCAGTTGGCACCTGAGATTTTGCTGAGTGATTTGGTTTTTTTGGCTGCCGTTGTGAAGCCCCCAGGAAGGTTTCTCTTTCATGTTCCTTTCATCAGTTCTTACTGTGTTTGTGCTTTGTTTCTATGAAAAGAGAGCTCTGACGAAATATTGATGGTCGTCGATTTTAAAGCATGAGTTTCTTTTTAGAGCTAATTCCCATCCCATAATCTTGTTCGTCCGTCTGTCCGTCCATCCATCTGTTCCTTTCCCCAGCGTGGAAATTGATGTTGCGAGACCTGACATTACGGGACATACAGACCAATTCAGTTTTTCCGCTAAATTTACCAGAAAAAATTGACATGACGTGACCTCAACACCAATTTAGTTTCCCCGCTAAATTTGGCAGGAAAATTAGTGCCACGTAACTTATACACCAATTCAGTTACTCGCTAAATTTAGCAGGGAAATTACATCTTCTGACGTAGACACCAATCCAGTTTCCCTGCTATGTTTAGTGGGGAAATCGACGTCACGTGACCTATACAACCATTCAGTTTTCCCGCTACTTTTAGCGGGAAAGTATATGTCACGTGACACATCGATTTCCTATATTTGGTGTTCCGTGTTCTTGGATAAATCCTAAAAACTCAAAAACATCTGCCGGTAAAATATTAGTCAATTCGGATTCATCCGACAAACTCCGAATTCTAATGTGCCACCGCCCCCCAAATAAATAAATAAATAAATAAATAAAGACGGCATTTTACAATTAAGTTTGATCAGCGGACAGGGTCAATTGTCTTGGGAAAATGCCACTACAGTTGCCCTTCAAATCTTGGATCATTGACAAAAGGGTTCTTACCGCTTATCTCGTCGAGGCCTTCCAACAATACCTTCTATACCATTCTACTTAAAGTGGCACCTTTGTCCACATATCAGAAGAATGCGAATGCGGCCATGAGGGGTTAGTCCCCTTTGATGCGACGACGGCGGATCAATTGCGAGCGGCGAACGTCTAAAATCTTGTGCCAAAAATCTTGAAACATTTGCTGGTCCTTGCTTGACTAGGACAAGCTTGATGAATTGTAGTCTACTGTTTTCCACGGACGTTTGCGACGGCTTCAGACGCTGGGCAAAACAGGCTCGTGCCTTTGAGTTGATGTTTATACAACTTCTGATGTCACAACAAGATGGCAGTCTAGTAAAGTTGCAAGTTAGTAGTTTCGGTTTACGTTTTGTCATACTTCGGCAATTAAACATTATTTAAAATTTTAAAGATATTTATTTGCTGCTCTAGGTTCAGTGTCTTGTACTCTTGCAGAAAGTATGTTTAGTTGAAAACGTTCAAATTGATGCAGGTCTTTTAAATTCACTGTTTCCAAACAAAACCCCTACATAGTAAGCATGGCAGCATAGCATTTGGAGGGTTCATACTCATGATATAGGGCAGTGGTTCCAACCACCGATGCTACGCGGACCCCTTGTGGATCAGCGGAGATGATGGAGGACCCTGTTCGTGGTGAGGGGAGGGGAAAGGTTTAAGTTAAATATAATAATTTATTTATTTATTTATTTCATGATTTATTATGATTTAATAAATGATGTAACTAAGGGCTAGTGTAAAGTAGGCCTCTCTTATTGACATGCACACGAGAAAACTCGCCTGGAAACTGAAACATTTCTTCTTGACCTGAATAAAGACACCTTTTATGCGAGACTTGACTGATGAAGGAGGTCTTCACGGACCCCTAGAATGACTTCGGTGAGCCCAAAGGGTCCGCGGACCCCCATTTGAAAACCACTGATATAGGGATTGATAAAGCCCACACATACCATAAAAAAATACTGCAGAAGCATCCACTTCGTTCAACCTCCCATTATTGGCATTTTTCAAACTAAGGAATTTTGCAAATTATGCGTTAAGTGCCCGATTTGACCGGACAAGTGCCTGATAACCCAGTTTTCTGTGAACGTGAGGTGGGCGCTTTCCCGGCATTTTGCAATAGTTTTCTTTGTTCTGATTATGCTTGGTGCTTTCATTATTTGTAACAAAGCAAAAAAGTAGGCAAAAATAAAAAAAAATAAAAACTTGAAAATAAAAAAGGAAAAGAAATAATTTTGAGAGCATCGGATATTTTGACGGAAGGCGCCGGCGTTTCTCCCCTTGTCTTCACTGCTGTAGGGTGCAGTAGCAAAACATCTTAGCTCTGGTGAAAAAGTTTTTTAGGTGGGGCATGCGATTAATATTAAGCCATGAACCAGTTTTATTTTTCTATAAAGGGGCACTGAACTCCCAAGAAACATTTTTCTTAATGTGTGAATAGGGCATATATTTCACAAAACAAACTTTCTCCAAAGAAAATATTTCGTAGCGCAATATTTACTTCACGAGACGTTTTTGAATTAAGAGATTCAGAAACACTATTTTGAGTTGCCGACCCCAAAATGGAAGCCCGTTTTAGAATTGCACAAATGAGTCTTGTGGCAGAAATATTGCACCAAAAACATTTTTTTTTCCAGGAAAGTTAATTATGTGACATTTGTGCCCTGTCCAGGCAGTTTTGAGAAATTTACTTTTCTGGGACTTCAGCATTTATTTAAGTGTGCAGTGTTGCAACATCCCTACTGCGTTAGACTCGGCTTGGTTGACCCCGTCCTTCCGTCTGCAACCATTTCAGGGCCAATCCCGATGCCTTGACCCTGCCCTTGGGGCCCCTGCAGCCCTCGCTGCAGGGCGGCGGCCGCAGCAATGAGGGCTTCAGCCGCACCCCTTCGGAGGCCCTGTTTGCGGCCACCCCGGAGGGCAGCATCTACTCGGAGAGCGCCGCCCTGCTCAACGGGGTGCTGCCGCGACTCACCACCCTCGAGGGGAAGCCTGGCCCCGAGCTGCTGCTCGAGGAGAATGAGCTGCAGGTGTGCGCTGGCAAGGTGGACTTCCTTCTCTGCGTTCATTCTATCACTAGCCACCTGCAGCGTCACCTTTCGAACCACAGCTACGACGCTACAGTACGACACTAGCCGAGAGTGCACGCTCGGCCCTTGTCCAATTCGTTTTCACTACCTTCTGCCATGAAAACAAAAGGCGCTCAGCTATGTAACTCTGACCCTACTGGTCGCTGCCCAAATACTCTCTGCACCCATTACGAGGATTTTCGATCTGTTAGCTCGAAATTAATGTAAATGAAAAGACTTCGGCTGGGAACTAAACTCACCACTCGCCCTTGTTATTGACCCACCTTGTTTGGTGCAGTATGGCCACTGTTGCTCTTGCGCCATTAAAACCGTAAACAACAACGACGTTATGTTATTTGTGCGCAACGCGATGATTCACTGTATATGTGCTCTGCAGGAAAGTAGCCACAAGGGCCTTGTTCATAAATAGTGCGGCTATTACTCGAGTAAATACGGTATGTTTGTGCAGAGCCTTTCTTTACCCAGCAATGAATTTCTGCATCTGTGCAGCAACAAAACAATTTGAAATTTGCAAAGGAAGCACAAGATGCCAATTATTTTCTTTCCAAAATACAGTATAACCCCGTTGATACGGTTTTCAGGGAACCGTAGAAAAAGAAAACAACATATCATCCGGGAAAATGTAACAAGCGATAATGCTGTTGGTGGGGCTACAGATGTGACAGGAAGCAACCCTCACTCTAAGATTTACTCTGGAATGACTTTTTGGGGTTCGGAGAACTACCATGATAGTTACCATGTAGCTGGGCATTCTTTTTCGGCACAGTTGTTTACAACTTGCAGTCAACCTATACCATATCTACCCGATTAAAGCGCGACCATGATTGCTACCTCGAGGGGCAACTTTTCATATTGCTCAGTGGGGAAAATAGAACCACGAATGTTGTGCGAGGCTAATAGAGGAATAAAACGGTACCTTCATTTTGCTAGAAATCGTTTCCAGCATGATTTCTGACAAGTGCACTCATTCACGTCAAGTAGCGACCAAGTTTTTCCCAGCTCTTGCTCCACTCCCGAAGTCGAAACGAGCGTCACACTGAGCTCGCTGCATTTCCATCATTTCCATCAAAACGTCCGACAGGAACGGAATTCGTTAAGATCTAAGAACTAAAACACGCACTAGAGACTAGTGCATTAAAACTTTGAAATCTTCGAGCTGGTGGAGCTATCCTAAACGAACTCTGATTGTGTCATCACTCTCTCACTAGCCGCTATGGGTTCGGATGCATTTGGATTTGGATTCGACTAGATAATTTGAAGAATCCAGCTGAGAGGTCGTAAGGCATACTTTGCCAACAGAAGACCGAAAATCCGCCGCGCGCAGCCAAGGAGCGAGGGTTCAGGAGCGCCGAGGGATAGATTTTGGACGTAACAACCGGGAAATCAAACATAACAGACGGGAAACTAGTACACGTATCTATGGGAATTAAACGGTACCAGCGCTTGAGAACGTAACAGCCGGGAAAACATATAAACCGGGAACGTATCAATGAGGTTCTACTGTAGTAGACATTTACAATTAAGGCACGCATTCAATCCAGTCTCTCACAGGATTCGATTCCTAGCAGACGATTCACATTTTCTTTGTTTTATTAGCAGGTGATGTTAGGCATTTTCTTGTTTTATTTCCATCTGCGAATGACACCTTGTAGCAGACAAACCCTATTCTTCTCTTGTGTAAGCAGACAAGCGGTTTGCTGACGTCATATTGGCTCGCTTCGTGGAATATCTCGGTCTTGCTTTCACGGTGTCTGTCATCTGACCCCTGCTGAAAGTGTGCAAGTGTCTTTAAACGTGAGAAAGACTTTTTGTAACATAATGCAGGGTTGTAACATAATGCAGGGGATGAATTTTGTAGCATAATGCTTCTAATAATGCAGGGTTCTGACAGCTCCTTGAAATCCTTGAACACCCTGGATTTCGATAAAAGCCTTTCAAGGGCCCTTAAATATTCTTGAAAGTTGCAATAATCCTAGTACTCCTGAACATCTGGAGATTAATGATATGTTTTTTTACAAATTACAGCGGTTTGAGAAGTTCACCAGCTTCTCTTGACTCGTCCAAACTGCGGGGATGCATGTAGTGGCATGCAAGAAAATCGCGGGGGAAAAGCGCTAGTCTCCTGTGTTGGCAACAGACATGACAGCATAGTAGTTCTTTTCCGCTTGTCATCAGATTCTAGCCACTGGAGAAAGCTTTATTTTTTCTTCTAAATGTGCCTGCTCCGTACACGAAAAACGTATCTGACAATTTTAATCAGACTGGGATTGTATCTCACATTTTTCATTGCAAAGCCACCAACTCTGGCATAAATTGTCACGATTGCGTCATGCATCATGCGCCCGTTTTAAAGGGCGCTTCAATTCAATCCCACCCAAGGCATCTCGTGTTATTGCCATTTTTGCTCTGTGTTGCCTTGGATTTTGTCTTCTGATGCCCTTGAAATTCTTGAAAAGTCTGAATTTTGCATAAAGATATTTGTATGAAGCCCAGTAATGTGTCTCGAAATTAGCTTCCGGGATTTATCTTTTTATCAGACACCTTTTGTATTCATACACATTCCTCAATGCAGCATTGGGTTGTAGGTGCATCACGTCCCTGCATCCATCTTGCAGCACCTGCATTTCTCATGCGCCATTGTTCAGGAAACCTCGCTCGTTGTGACATGGAGCTCTTGCTTAACAGGATATTGTATGTGCACAAGTTTTAGCTATGCATATTGACATAAGCGAAACAGGAAAGAGAAACAATGAACTGCCTAAGTAAGTAGATCTTCATTCTGGTGCACACAGATCCAGTGACGGAGTTTCAAGAGCTATGGTGATTACACGATCGGCGTTGGTTGTGACGCAATGCACTTACCGTAAAATACCATTCAAGCGCCCACTTATACTTTGGAGATAATCTGGGCACTTGTCCGGTTATCAATTTTACATATAAATGTTCTGTGCATATTTTCTGAGATCTTAGAAATTTTGGTAATGGGCGCTTAATGTGGAATGGTGATTATGGCAAGATGCATGCAGCGAGCATGTCGCTGTTCCGTACATATCTCTGGGCATAGAACGAAATCGGGGTAGCGTAAAAGTGAAACATGATGAATGAATATCTTAATGCCTGTTTCCTTTTTATATACAGTTGAACCTCGATTTAGCGAAGTCACCGGGACCCCCTAATTATTTCGTTAAATCGGGAACTTCGTAAAGTCGAGAAAGACATTCTTTGGATTAGGCTGCGTGGGGAATCCGAATTTGTTCGTTAAATCAGGAAACTCGTAAAATCGGGTTTCGTTAAATTGAGGTTCAACTGTATTCTACAAATCGGTGTAGCCTCTAATAATGACCTTCAAAACTGCAAGTGCAGCATAATTCATCAGTCCATTAAATAAAAACATCCTTAACACGTCTTAGTTATTAGCCGTCTCGTTATGGGGACAATTGTCTCCCCTTACAATGTCTGCCAAGCCCAGCAAAAATGCAGAGCAAATTTTATCCATTTAAAAGTTGGACAACCCCTTTTCTAAACAACATCTGTATCGATTAAGAATGAATATCCTCTAGAGTAGAGTTACAGTAATTATTCGAAAGTAGGTCGACCTCATTATAAACAATGCCTGCACATGTATTTCTCTGCAACGCTCAAGAAGAGCTAATCATTGCAATTTGCCGAAGAGGTCCAGCGAATGACAAGACACTGACGATGTTGGAACGCAGAAATAAGATCTGTATGGATCGCCTTCTTTTTTTCTCGTTCCCCAAAGGTTATTTTTGTTTTATTATTTGCCTGGCTCCTTTAGTAAGGTTTAATGATTGAGCTTCGTGGGTTCTGCAGTAAAGTAGACACACAGGCGTCTATTTTCCTCTTTTCGCCTATTTTCGAATAAATATTGGACTTCATTTATGACAATGCCTATTTCTGCCTGTACTCTACATAGGCTTGATCCAAGACATTCCTTGGGCTGTTTCCTTCTCGAGCACTTCACATAGCTTGCAGTGAATTTACCCCCAGGGAGGCAGAGACTCCCTGTTCCACCAAAACCTGCACCAGGCATTTTTTTTTTTTTTGTAAGTTAGTTTTTTTAGTGCATGCATGCATGCATGTTTTTGGGGTCCTTACTATAATCAGTGACAGGTCAAGAATTCAGGGGAAGCTGCTCCCACCTTTTTCTACTTCAACAGAGCAAATGCTAGAGAGAAGGTGACCTACTCTCCAGCGTTCTCTAAGTGAAAAGGGGTGGGACCATTTATGGCCTCTTATAGAGACTCACCTTTTTCGCATGGGCACACAGGTGCCATGCAATGTCGCACAGTTCCTTTGGCAGGGTGGGGCACCCTGTGCTCCACTTTTGGCTTAATTGAGATTGTTCACTTTGTTCACACTACTCTGAAAACTGTGAATGGGAGCTTGATTCTTTCCAAGGTTGTCCTAGTGCGTGAGCATCCATGCAACATTTGTGTGAGCTGCATTTTTTAGCAAAAATAGCAGCCCACGCTATTTCGATTCATTGGGTCTCTGAACGTGATTTGGCTTTTGTTGCTAGATGGGACTGAAGATACAGATGTGACTTGTTGGGGTAGGAAACATATGTTCTTGAGGAGCATTATAGTCTTCCTTGCTGATGTGGCACTCCGGCCCACGATTTCATTTATCATCCTGCCCAAGGCTGGTTTCCCAACTGCCTGCTAAAATGCTTTGCACACCAGCTGTGCAGCAGTTATGGCTAGAAGTCACAGTTGCCCGGCTTTGTCATGTTTGACAATTTTATTTATTTCCCGAAATATAATCTGTTGCGAGCTTGTAACTTCATTCAATCTACCATATTTACTCAAAACTTTTCCGCCGCTTGTGAACTTTTTCATGTAGCGTATTATATTAGTCTATTGAGTGAGCCTAGAAAATTACAAGGTGCAAAAAGTATTTGTTCCTCAGTGTAAACCTACACTGGATTCCGGACTTTTGAAACATCATGCTCACTGTTGGTGTGTAGACATAATTTTTGGCTAAGCATTTCTCTGGCTAGGCTTCTGCATTTGTAATCTTGGCTATGTCTCTGCCTTGCAAAAAAATAGACATTTGGAAACTACTCAGAGTGCCGTGAAAATTACTCGAAAAGCACGGTATCGTGGTAATAAAAGGATTATACTCCATTTTATTTTAGCTCGGCGAATGGTAAAAGTTACAATCTCGTTAAGCCAATTGGAGCATCGATGTGAGACACATGGCAATGTACCATAGATTGGCACTCCCTCCGTGAAGAGCTTTTGCATGCTTTGCCACTCAATCGCTTTATTTGTCTCTCGCGTTCTGTAGCTTTCATCATTAGCCAAGAAGTATAGCAGACACCGTTGAAATGGTTTATAGTGGACGTCTGCTAAACTCCTTGGCAAAGGTAGGAGCAGACATCATTGAAACGGAGTATCCCAGGTAAAAATCAGTGCACATTATGGAACTGGTTCCAGCTGGAAATGAGACAATCCAGCTGGGTCTATCTGGAAATGAGACGATCCAGCTGGATCCAGCTAAGACCAGTTTTATAATCTATCTGTAAGTGGACTGATTTACACCTGGACAGCAGACACCTGCTACTCTTTAGCAAAGGGCAAGAGAAGACATCATTGAAATAAATTATAGCAGACGTCTGCTATACTACTTTGCAAAGTGTAGAAGCGGACGTCCTTGAAAGGCAGCATAGCAGACGTCGTCGAGCCTACTTTGCGGCTACTCCGGCTCAATCAAGTCGGGTCGTGACTGTGTGGCATCCTTCCACGCAGGCGGTACTGGGTGCCGGAGACCACCCGCTGGCGCCCACAGCGGCGGTGTACATGGAGACGACGGAAGGCCCGGTGGAGGTGATGGAGGAGGAGGAGACGGTGATCACCAAGGAGCGGCTGCGGGTGGTGGCCGTCCAGGTGTTCATCCCGTTCCTGACGGCAGGCTTCGGCACGGTCGGGGCGGGCCTGGTGCTGGACGTGGTCCAGAGGTGGCCCGCCTTCGTCCACATCTCGGAGCTCTTCATCCTTGTTCCGGCCCTGCTCGGGCTCAAGGTTAGCCTCCCGGACCACCCGGCACCCTTTCCAAACACAGCGGCATTTCTGAGCGAACCCTGTGCATTTTCGCGTCTGTGGCTCGGTTCGTAGCCAACAGAGAAAGGGACATGCATCTGTTATATACCTCCTTTAATTATGCTTAAGTGGGGAATAATGCGTCGAATGGGATGTCACAAATAAAAATAACAGATGAATGTGAAACTGAAAATGAATGTGTAGTAAGGCATACTTGTGCCTTCAAACTTGAAAAGAAATGTACCGGCATCTTGCGCCGGCGAGAGAATAACTGTAACGAAGCAGCTCATTGCGCTGCTTTTGCACAAGTGGTACGTTCAAGACTGTTCCAAACCAGAACACAAAATGAAGGCGGAGAATGGGCTGAAACTTTTCAGAAGTGCACGATTGAGAAAAGAAAGAAACGGCTCGAGCGGGGTTCAAACCCCGTTTCTCCGCGAGCTGGACATCCCTTTATCTTTTGTCTGCCTGTAACAAATGTAAGTATGTGCACTATGTGCCACTGGGAGTTCTGAATTGTTTTTGTGCCTCTATGCCTCGACTACTGGGCCCATTCTCGGCTGTCTTTGAATGGTTGCAAAGAAAAGTCCCCGCCGGTCTTCCTTTGGATCCAGTTCGTGGGTTTGTCATTTTGTTTAGTTCTTTTTGTTTGTGTGTGACGAGTCTGGGGCGGCTACTAAATGATCTGGACGTCAGATAAGGTTGTGAATGTAAACATTGCCTCCTTGATGTTTTTTGACCGGTGCAAACAAACAAACAAAGCTTCCGACACACCGAGCAAAAGTCTGCGTCGAAGTCAAACGCACATTTTCCTCCACCAGATCTTGTGCAGTCGACTCCAATTTTCATAACTTCATCTTAATGCATTCAAAACTCGTTTCGTGTGTTTAAGTAATGTGAAATAAATCATGCGTTCGGTGACATTTAGCACGGCACTACTAAGCAAACGTTACGTATGGCGAGGTGGTTAAGTTGTGTTTTGAAGTTGTTGTTGTTTTTTTTATTGCCAATCACTTAATGGGGGGGACACGTCCTAGAAAAAACAATTTCTTTGGCATCGGTTCACTGATGCTAAAGAAAAGGTAGAGGTTGGAGTACCTTGAACAGAACTTTTCTCCATTCCACTTTTGGCATAAATTGTACCTTAGGAAAACTATTGTTTTGTTATTAGGTAACTTGGATTCATTTTTATGAGTTTTTCTAGGATGAAATTTTAAGGGGAAGATAGTATGAGCTTCTATTTTTTATTTTTATCATTTTTTATGCTCAAGAACTAAAATTTTGGGCAAAGAATGGGAATCTCAAAAACAGTATTTTTGTTTATGTGGCTTTTTTGTCATGAAAGATGGTATGATATAGAAATATAGCTCCATAGCTATCTGGTCTGAACTGCCCTAGAGCAATATAACAGGTGAAAACGACATATTTATAAGTAATTTCAAAACGATAGTTTTCCTGTGCGGACACACCCACTTTCATCTTTGAACATTTTCACTTTTTTTTTTGTACTTCACGCAGGTTAACAAAATTTGGCAGAATGTTATTAACAGAAACAAGCCCTCTAAATGTCACCTAAATCAGACAAGTGGTTCAAACATTCACTTTTTTAGAAAGTGTCTCCCCTTAAAAAATTTGGTTATAAAAATTGCATCAATTGGCAATTGCACAACACCTGTTATCTGAAAAAATATGCGATGCGGGCTGCAAGTGAGGTAATAAATTTTTTATCGCCACTTTCTATCACCTTTTAGGCTGAACCTCCCAAGTCCAAACTTTGGTCAGTTGTTTGCGGTGGCAAGTTTGGCAGGAGCTGTCAAAGTAGTAGTGCAGTTGATATTTTGATGGCAAACGTCAAAATTATACGAAAAGCATTTTTTACCTCTTTGGGAGGTTGCATCACAAACGTCAAAATAATAGTCAAATTTTTTTTGTCAGGGAATGTCGAAATAGTTGCTGCCAGAACAAATGCATATTTTTAATACAGAATGGGATTTATCAGCTGAATTCCTCCGAAAAAACCATCACGTTGCAGCGTTACCTTCCAGCGTCAGATTCCAGTGTTACATTTTACACCGCAATGTCACGTGACATTGGCTGATGTCATAGAGTCATGTGACCTCCCGATGGCGTTGACTTCCCGACAGCATATGCCCAGCTCATTTGCAACATTTTCTTCACTCTCCGGTCTTTGTCGGTATCATCGAGCTCGCGTGATCTTGTTTTTCTGTGTCGGAGGCACCCCGAAACGCGCCTTCCGTCCGATTGACGCAAAGTGGTTGCGGCTTCCTCGCCGACGCAGGGAAATCTGGAGATGACCCTGGCGGCGCGGCTGTCCACCCAAGCCAACCTAGGCAACATGGACACGGGGGCCGAGCAGCTGGCCATGACCACCGGCAACATGGCCCTCATTCAGGTCGGTCTCCTTGGCTTCCCGGAATGCGTCTCTGATTGGTGCGTTTTCCTCGTCTTCAAAAGTGGTCGCTTAATTTCTGCCCAAATACGTCACGGATGCGTCGTGCGGTCGCCCGCCGCGATCTTCAGCTCGACAGTTCGCGGAAGCTGCGGCAGCCGGGGATTGGAGCGGCGCGACGGCGGCGATGCTTGTGTTTGCTTGCGCCTTCTGCCGTAATGTCTACCTGCCATGACGTCGTTTGTTGCCACTTCGGGACCAGTTTTGTTTCTCAGACGGCATAGGACGCCGACCACACCAGTCGAAGACGCGTTCCAGGCACTGTGGTTCAACGGGACTGGCATTTGGGAAACGGAGTGTACGAACCTGGGACGTGTCGACAATGTTCCGGGTCGATTGAAGCACGCAGCAGTAAAAGATGGTAGTATGGTGGTGTTGTAATTCCTATTCTTGTTCGTACGCTCGGAAACTTAAAAAATATGCACCCCCAACTTTGAAGCATCTATTTTCTTTTTATACTATACCAGGGTGTCTAGTGACCGGGAAAACCGGGAATTGTCAGGGAAATTTTAATTACCGGGAAAAATCAGGGATATTGTCAAAAAGTGAGCCTTGTCAGGGAAAATGAGCTGTAAATGCCATCGAGTTTTTTGAGCAAAGGCTTGACAACTTGGGGGCAGAAAAATAGGCAATTCATTCTGTTTAGAGTGGAGCGCGGGCTCTGCTCACTTGATGTAGAGTATGCTACTTGATGCAAAGGGAAGAGCCGACAAATCCAGTCCAAGCCTTGGATTGGATTGAATTGAAGGCGCGACACTAGGCTAGATTCAGTTAAAGCTACTAGATTTAGTAACAAATGGGAAAGTCTCAGACCGTAATTTAATCCAAACCTTAAGCCAAAAGTGTGCATCTGGTGGCCATGCTGCCATTCAGTTATTGACATGTGTGATTGAACGTCGGGTTTCATCGCGTTTCCGGAAGTGGCCTCTTCGCTGACGATGTCGGCGGCAAGAAAGTGCTCGTTTCTCCGTGGTGGTGAACTCGAATATTTCGAAATATGAAAGTTGGATTAAGCCCGTGCAAAATGATCCTTAATGTGCTCAATGCTCAATGCCTTATGTTGTAATGGTCTTATATACTTAACTGCCTCTACAGTGGTCAGGGAATTCCACCTGAAATTGTCAGGGAAAACCTGGAAAAGTCAGGGAATTTCAAAATAACGGATTGCTAGACACCCTGTATACTTCTTTACCTCGCCTGCTAATTATATTTTACACCATAAACTAATGTCTGATCTTGGAAACTCTTTAACCACCCTACTAAAGTTCCAAATGGAACTTTAGTTTATTTATTTTAAAAAGTCAAAATTATGTTTTTCTGCTTGTGCTGAATACGTGATAAACGACGCAATATGCCATTTTTATTATTAATCAACCTCAATGTGTAGCTGAGAACAGTCCAAGGACACTCGCAATTGACTGCATGAGGCAAAGTGGTTCGTTGATATTCTTCGGCAAGAGTGACCTCCTTTGATTTTTCACAATATTCTCTGCGGCGCTAAATGGGCACTCAAACAGTGTTGAAGTGGCCGGGATACATGTAACCTTTTGAGCTTGTCTGGAGTTACAAATCCTGCCCCTACAGTTTACTTTAGGTTAAAATTTCACCTAAATTTTGTTTTTCATACAGGTGTTCTCGGTTACATCTGCGTGGTGACAGCGTTTAACTCTTTCTTTTTGTTTATCAGAATTTTACCGATTAAGTGGTTAAACAAATTAATCGCGATATAAACATTAATTGATTCATCGGTAGGTTAAGCTATCAAATTCCCAGGCCTAATTTTTATATAAAAAGTGAAAGCCGTTTACAAATCCCTGTAACGCCGAATTGGAGCGCAGCTCTTGAGGAGGAGGAGTGAAGGGTACTGAGGGGAGGGTAGACCCCTCCTCCTCCCCTCATTCTTTAATATGCTCCGGGGGGGGGGGCGGTCACGTGACCTCGGGGGGGGGGGGGGGTGTCACGTGACTTCGGGGAGGGGGTCACGTGACCTCGGGGGGTCACGTGATCTCAGAGGGGTCACGTGACCTGGGGGTCACGTGGGGGTCACCTTGGGGTCACGTGACCTTGAGATGACCTTGGGGAGGAGACCACGTGACCTCGGGGATCACGTGACCTCAGAGGGGTCACGTGACTTGGGGGTCACGTGACCTTCAAAGGGTCACGTGGGGTCTTGGGGTCACATGACCTTGAGATGACCTTGGGAGGGGTCACGTGACCTCGAGGGGTCACGTGACCTTGGGAGTCACGTGGGGTCACGTGACCTTGAGATGACCTTGGGAGGGGTCACGTGACCTTGGGGGTCACGTGACCTTGGGATGACCTTGGTTACGGCGACGGCGACGCCGCTCAAGCCGGGAACGGGCCCCTAAGAGCTGCGCTCTAATAAATAAATTACAACTCGCGGGGTAGCCCAATGTGGGTGTCGATGAAATCAAGAGCATGAATAAAGAAGTAATTCTTTAGGTCAGTTACCAAGTAAAACAGTGAATTGCAGCTGTGGCGCTCTGCCGCTTTGTGCAGACCAAGATGTTTCTGATGTAGGCCTCTATTTGTAAAGAGTGCCAGGCCTGTTTGAAAAGTGCTTGTGAGAGCAATAATTACAAGCAAAGAGTGATGCCACTGAGTAACCACTGTACTGAAATAATGGTACATTTCTCAACATCACTATGAGCTAATTATAGGACATACCCCATGTCCTATAATTAACTCATCGCTAAAGAAGAGTTGCAGAAGTGTTTCCTCCCTCTCTTGCATACTTTTGTCACCAATCAAATACACTTTAGTTATACTTCAAACCCCACCACGAGTGTTTGCCATCAGCGCAATCTCAGTCTGTAAAATACGACCTTGAGCAAAATACTGCACAACTTGCGACCATCCACTTTAAAATCACAGCAATGCTGGCAGGTTGTGCCCAGCAAGGCTTGCTATTCTTAGACACACCGTTTTTAATCCCAAACCTTTCACCACACTGGTTGTCGTTGCTGCAGTGAAAAAGCAGATTCCCGTATACTGCACATTCTTTCTTGCGATCCTGGACACGGCAGCTGGTGTTTGTCATGTCTTGCACAAGGCTTAGCTCTGCTCATTTCAGAAGTCAGTTCTGATCAAAATGATGTTTGTATGTTCCTATAGCATGCTCGTCTCATTGAATGGTTCCAGTGCCAGGCGACAGTGGTGGCCTTCCTGGCCTCGCTGTTTGCAGTGCTCATGGGCTACGTCACCGAAAGCCGCTTCGACACCGGCAATGCAGTGCTGCTCTGCGCCAGCAGTATGGTGACCGCCAGTGTGGCCAGCCTCCTTCTCGGTGAGCCGCCGGTCTTCGTTTCTCTTTTGGTGGCTGGCAATTTTGGCCTTAAAAAGTAGTTCTCAAGTGTAGAAAATGCAAACAGAGTTTCAGCTTGGGCGTTAGCCCTTGGTGTCCGGTACCAGGCACGTAGCCAGGGGTGTTCAGGTGTGGTTCTTCTGTCCAAAATTTTAATTTATTATATATATACAGTCGCCGACCGATTATTCGGACCTAGCAGGAACCGAAAAAGCGTCCGAATAATTGAGCAGTCCGAAAAATCAGCAGAGTGAAAAACTTGCCTTTATTGCTTCAAAGTGGGCTTAAAAAAGCCATAAATAGTGCCTTGCTTCGGGTTATGCCAGTGTGTCTTGTTTTAGGTTACGCCTCCGTTTGCGTTTGGCAACTTTCTGTTAGCTTGAGAGTCGCTGCCTTCTTTTCTAGCGTTATGGTCAATACTTTCTGCGATTCCTCACAACACATTGCGGCGGCGGAAGAACAGATGGTCAATGACGTCTAAGCCAGCATAGTCCGAAAACACAATTCACCAAAACGAGGTCGAGATGAGGCGCAAGTCCACGACTGCAATGGCAAACTAACAAAGCAAAATGGTGACACCAATGATGATGATAGTGATGCACAGCTAGGAAAAAAAAACAAAAAAACATACAGCGCCACCTTGCGGTAGGACTTAGCAGTACTCAATGAAGCCTGCCAAACCAAGCCAATCCATGTGCAGCCAACATAGAATTCAAAATGGCCGCTTCCGCTGATCGCTCGCGACAATTTTGTCCGAAATATTAAACGTTTGGAGTTCAAGCTGTCTGAAACATCGGTCGTCAATATGCACTACTTCTATCGGGTAGATCATGGTTCCTCCTTTAAGTTTGAAATATTAAGCAAGTCTGAATTATCGGCGTCCGAAAAATCGGTCGGCGACTGTAATATCATTTCTAGTACCGGTTTTAGGGTTCTTACATGTTTTGGATATGCTCATGTTTTGTCCTGCTAAAATAAAATCGGTCATTTGTTTTGGATGAAACTTTGAGTGGGGTTTCCTTCGGTACAATAAAAAAAACTACCATATTTGCACAAAGATAACGTGACCACGAATATAACACGAGGGCAGGTTTCGGTGCCCTTAAAAAGAAAAAAATATTACTATTATAGCGCGAACCGAGGCGCGTCAATTTCTCGTACTCGGGGGCATAGCAGAAGTGAAAAGTCAATGGAAATAGAAGAAATATCAGTTCATGTTTTGACTGCACTCATCCTCACTGCTCATGTCCTTCCGTTTACAATCCACTTGGCGACTACGCAGATAAGGGCACTTCCTTGTCTGGTAGTTCTTTTTTTCTTCCTCGGCAGCCCACAATCCAAACAAGGCAGGAAGCAGAAGTACCAACACACAAACACCAGACCACTCTGGAGCAGAAACTAAATAATGCGCAGACAGAAAAAAGACTGCTGAACCCGATACACGATCACACATCTTGGTCTGGTCCCTCTGCATAAACAAATGCCTCGTGTTGCACGATTTTGAAACGTGGTCAGTGATCTTGGCTTGGCTTGTGCTGACTTGACTTGGCCCGGCTTGGCTTGGCTCAAATTGGCCAGTGCCCGCATTCCCGCATGGCCCGCGCACGCTGAGTTTCTGCGGCGTGCGTTTGTTGTACAAACACAAAAGCGATAAAAATGCTTTTTTATGTTTTTTATTTAGCCCTCCACGTGGCCCAATAGCTAATAAATTCCCTTCCACACCCCCACTTCTTTTCCCACCGGTTCTTTTGCATTGAGCCGGAGGGATGGCTTTCTCCTCTGGCTTTCTCCAGACTCGCGCGCCTCGTGGCTGAACTCAATTCCGAATATAACACGAGGTGCGTTTTGGAGCACGTAATTTCGAAAAAAAAACTCGCGTTATATTCGTGCAAATACGGTATATGGTTTCTTCTTTTTGATGTCCTTCTAGGTCTAGACTGCCTCTGTGGCTTCAATGTTCCGTTTCAGCCTCCCTAATGCAAAAAGGAAGGTTTGAACCCCGGTTGGTCTCTTTGCCAAGGTGTCCTTAAGGCGTTGTTGATAGCTAGGGTTCTGTGTTTGCGGTAAATACCAATAAACCCCAAAAATTGACTCCTGATTCGGTTTGATCAAAGTTGGGAAAAACCGAAAACCCGCGATTGAGGCTGTCCTGTGTAAAGAGAACAGAAGCTCCACGGAGAGGAAATATTCATGTGCAGCTTCATTTTATGTTTTGACCCGGAACACCAACCATAATGAACTGTGTACAATGCTGCTTCTTGCTTCGGAAGCACTCGTCTGATTTCTTTGTCTTATCGGCACGAGGAAGTTTTTCAAGTTTTTTGTTTCGAAAAACGTCCTCGAACCCCGGAGGTTGAGGGATCCCAACCTCACATAAACCCCGGTATTTCGGCCGACACCTTGATACCTAAAACCTCCGAATCGGTGGGAAGAAATATACCCAGGAAATGCAAAACTCTATGTATATGCTCGGTTGTCTTGCAGTGCAAAACTGCAATATTTCTTTTTTTCTCTAGGTCCAGCGCGTCATCTCACACTTTGTTTCACTGCGCCTCATGCATGTGTGCAGGGTCCCTGATGGTCGGGGTGGTGATCTTCTCGCGCAAGTGCCACCTGAACCCAGACAACATTGCGACACCCATTGCGGCTTCCCTGGGCGACCTCACCACCCTGGCTCTGCTGGCCGGAGTCAGTAGCCTCCTCTTCAACACCATGGGTGAGCACGCCACCGATCACAGTTACTTTGGTCAAACGTCCATTCACCTCTAGAGTAAAGAATCTCAACCGCCAACATTTTGGGGATCCCTTCTGGATCGGCAGAGGTGACAGGGGACCCCATCCACCGTGGTGGAGGGTGGGAAGGACTACGACGATGAAAGGATGAATGAAGGAAACTAAATCCGTGCAAACCAACTTTGAGGCTCTAAAACGGAAAATAATCAACCATACTCTCTCGGCGCACAGGGTTTGGTCTGTTCAGCTTTGTGAGACAGCCAGCATCAATACAAGAAAATAATAATAATTATTGAATGGCTCGACGGTTGAGGGCTTCAGGCACTGTAATTTCCCAAGGAGGTCTCTGGGGACTTTGAAGGGTCTGCAGACCTCCATTTGAGAACGGCTGATCTAAACCAAAGTGCCCGTCGCCCATCTACAGATCTCGAGGTCGCGGGTTAGAATCCCAGCCGAGGTGCCCGTAATCTGACGGGGGATTACTGTGGACCAGGCCGAGCTTTTGGTTGCTATTCAAAAAGACCCCCAGGTGGTCGAAATTATTCCTCAGTCCTTCGTGGGGCATGCCAGATGATCTTTGATGGTTTGGCACAAAAAAACCCAAAATTTGACTTTGACTTCAGTCGATTGTCGTGTGGAATTCAACCTGGACACTTGTCAATTGTCATTTCGCAATGCCAGCATTTGGCCCCAGACCCCGAGTAGTATTGAGTAAAGTTGCGTGCAACATTGTTTGTTATTTAGAGGGTCAAAGGGCAGCCAAACCACTCCTACTGGTTGTTAGTAGGGGCTGCAAATATTCTAAATTTCAAGAATGAATATTATAATATTTTCGATATACAGCTCATATTCGATTTAATCGTAACTTATCAGTACCGTAAAACACCCAGTCTGCACGTTTTTCGGTGGATGGCACTAACGCAATGTACAGTAGAGCCTCATTCATATGTTCCCGGCTGATAAAGTTTCTCAGCTGTGGCATTCATGCATGCCTGTCTGGTACAAGTCCCATAGGGATATATTTGTCAGCTTCCAGCTTGTTGTGTTTGTATTGTGGTTCTTATGTCCAAAACCCGACACAGCTGATACGAAGCATTGAACAGCTCGGCCGCAGCCACCTGAAACCAAAGAATATCAATCTAAAACTAAATGTGTGTTATTTCGACCACGAAACAGACAAGTACCTAATTTGCTTCAAATAACTTTAGGGTCTTCAACACTTCAAGTGGTAAAGTCGGTAAAAATATTGGGCGTTTATTTCACTGAATCGTTGTCATGGAATGAGCACGTTGATTATATACATCAAAAAGTTTGTAAATCTATTGGTCTCCTTTGTAAGAATCGGGATGTCTTTCCAGCAGGTGTTATATTACTTTTATATTATTCTTTGATTTACACTCACTACGTGTATTGCCATTTAGTTTGGGGCCAAACAACGATACAAAATATAACAAAACTACTGCTAACCCAAAAGACGGTTCTTCGAATTATCGCAAATGTACCCTTCTTGCACCCTTCTCGGGAGCTCTTTCTTAAACATAACGTCATTCCTATTGACCACTTGTACCAATTTTGCCTGCTGGTGATGTGTAATATGGCATTAAAACATAATATTTCTTCCCTTTTCGCACTGTCGGGCTTAGCAAAACTAGACCATAAATATGTCACATGTCACGGCGAAATTTGGAGCGTTTCAATACCTCATACGAATTACGGCTTTACATCATTAAAATATGCATTACTATCTTTACTCAATAAACTCGAAGCCAATGGTATCAGCATCTATGGGACATCAAATCGGATGTTGGCAAAAATCATATTACAGACGGCATAATTTTTACCTCTTGTGCCTGGAGTTTTTGTATCTGTGGTGAAACTTGTTTCTACTTTAAAAATATTCGTTTTGATGCATTCAAGCTGAGTGCAACAATGTGAATAGTCGTTATTGTGTTTTAGTGCCCATTTTTGTGTTTTCGTTCCGTTTCCAATGCTGCTTTCCCGCCAAAGTGTGTTAGGGCGCCAGGACCTCGTCAAGCTGCAACCGCAGCTTTTTGTCCTGACGTCCTCCTGTTTTGTATCAACCAGAATGGGAAATAAAATACATTATTATTATATCAATGAGCGAAATTTGCAAATTTGTCGAGCCAATCCGTATGCTTCCCTGAATCATCCACTGCTCCTAACACACAAGTGCAGAGTGGAGAAGCTTGACACCCACACCGGTGAAATCGAGTGCTGCACCAGAAACTGTTTTACCTTTTTAGTATCTTTAGGCGAAAATTACTACCATAATATCCCGAGAGGTAGCCCACCTAAAATAAATAGAAAATAGGGTGAAAATAACGGGGCGAGGGGGGGGGGGGGGGGGGGGGGGGGAAAACTGACTTTCAATGTGCCATAAAAAAAGAAAAAAAAAAAGTGCTAGTTTTAGATTTTGTGACCCTCGTAACTTGTGATCGCAGGAAGGGGTGGTGAACCAAAGTCAGCCTTCTCAGTCAGCTATGTTCCCTTATCTCTGTCGTGGTTAAAGGAGCTGTGCAACAGTTTCAGTGCTTTGCTTAAATAATTTGGGAGTTGGTGTCTCGACCTTTCTGAAGTAAAGAACAAAAAACCGCTTTTGCCTGCATGTCCTAGGTTTTATTTTAGAAATTGACAAAGGTTGAGGTTTTTGGCACCTCTTAACTCCTTCACTTTCTTCCGAGTCACGTTGCTGTGACATCAATGGGGGCCGCGCGGGGTTCCTGTAAAGCTCTCTCTCTAGAGCCATCAGTGAGCAGCGAGAACTCATCCGCTCGCGACCGCGTGACCACGTGCTGGCGGGCGCAGCGCATCCGGGTCCGGCCATCCCCGTCCGGCCCTGTCCCCCTCCCCCTCCGGCTTCTGGCAGCTGTTCCGCTGTTCGCGGTAGCAGATAGAGCTGACGGTTTTGTGGACCTAGGATAGATGGCGCCACAAAAACCCCATATAATGAAAGTTTTGTCAATGATACCAGCTTTTGACGCATTTATATTTATGTTGGAACGACAAGATTTATAGAAAAGTTACCTTTTATCGAGCAGGTATTCGCACAATTTGCTATCTTTCTACAAAACCCCCATTGACGTCATGACGCGTGTTTCTTACGGGTGCCGCTTGCGGCTGCAAGTCGAGGAATATTCTAATTTTTGCCTCGCGATTACGTGGCAGAATCGCAACATTTCGAAGGAAGGAGGTGGGTTTTCTGTCCCTTGTGGCAAGACGAAAAATGTCAAGAGTAGAAGATGCCAATTCTTTCAACATTTAAAATCGTTGCACAGTTCCTTTAAGTGACATTGTTTTTGCCAAAATCACCATTGGCCAGAGCCTTCCAATTACTAGAAGTGGGCTACCTTTCGGTGTTTCTGGAAAAATAGCAAATCGTGCCAAAAATAGGGGTGGGCCATCTATCGGGGGTGGGGCATCTTTTGGAATATTACGGTACAGGTTAAATGAAAAATAAAAATTCTTTAAATATAACTGTCTTTCTTGGTGACTTTATTTTTCATGGGCCAGGAGCAACTTGGAAAACTCAGTCGCCCACACAAAGGGCCAACGAAAACTGATACACGGGGTTATAGACCAGATCGGACCTAGTTGCAAAATACTGAGCCGCAAATGTACCACTTCTTAAGATGGAGGTTTGGGCGAGTTGGCTGTTCATGATTTAACTCTTTCCTGACTGTGCCCATAGGCCATCGAACACTGGTGATCTATGGTTTCCAAGCGCCGTCAAGAAATTAAATTTTTGTGCGGAGAATGATGTTCCACAATCTCGTAGGTAGCCGAAGAATTGTAGTTTCAATCTCGGCGTAGGTTTGAGCCTTGTCGCAAGCTGGTGGGCTGTCAAAAATAGTCCTAGGGCCCTGGGAGGCACTTGTCTACATGGTTAACTGCTTATATCAGTCTTCGGAACAAAGATGGCATTATTTACATAATTCAACTGTATTGTGGCATATTTTTTAGACCTCAAGAGCTCTGAGGACACTTTAAATTATGTTATTGGCATTGTTTAAAGAACAACTCCGCTTCATTTTTGTTTTTCAAATAACAATGCAGTCCTCCTCACTATCACCTAGGAAGACCACCCATCAAATATTATGACCTAGTTTTGTCCAAACGTTTCTTAAACGGTCCGGCAAACTTTGCAACTCGTCAAGTGGCCGAAATCGGCTGACCCGAGCCGGCCAATTGAGGTGTAACCAACATCGCAGTCAAGGCTGCGGCGCGGGCGTAGCCGACATTGAGCGAAATGTCATCGCCGCTTCCCCTTTTTGCTTGTTTTTACTTCTCCAGGCGAGCATAATGGGTAATGTCAGCAACGTTCCCTCTCGGCGCACAGTGGCGTAACTGCTGCCTTTATTTGTGTTTAAATGCCCATTAAGAAATACAAGGGCTGCTGTTCATAATCAATTTAATTTACCACCATGTAAAAATGTTTATGGTCGAAGACTTGTTGAATTCAACGGTGAATTAATTTGGAATGATATACCCACGGATATTAAGCAGAAATCTAACTTTTTGCCTTTATTAAAAAGTTGCTTTATAACATTCAAGGTTGATGACCTAACCATGTCATCTCGTACGCAAGATATTTGTATCTGATGTAACGTTTGCTTCGTGCCGCACGGTGATACGTAGTTTGTGATTGGACCCGATACTAGCCATTGTGGCTATGGGTCCAAACAGTTGTTGAGTAAATAAATAAATTTGAGAATTAAAAAAAAAAAAAAAAAAAATCTGAAATCTGAATGGGCCTGCGCAGCACGCTTCTTGGGAGCTGTCGAACCGTCTCACCATGATCCTGCCGTTAGCGCCGTCTCCCGCGTCACAACTGCCGTCGTCGTCTTACCGTTTGTGATTATTGTCTCAGAGTTTTGTTCACACTACGGACAATACGTGCGCAGACTTATGCCGCAGTTGTGCCAATGTCGTTGAATGTCATAGACACCACACCAAAGCATGGTGAAGAGCGCTGTGGAGATGACACTTGCACCAGGCACACACCCGTCATTTTGTAGAGGATCACGTGACACCTCGTACCACGTGATAGCCATGTTCTTGGTGGCCCGAGGCCAATGTTGCTGGACTTTTGATTTCTGTTTGTGTATGAAATTAGATGTAACAATATATATCTCATTTTTCGTGAAGCAAATGGCATAGTGTCTTTTACTAGTGCTTTTTAATGGGAAATCCCTTATTATCAATTGAGCGAAGTTGCCCATTAACAGATTGTTGTCGGTAAGCATCACTATAATTTCCAATGCTGTCCACAGCCGGCGTGTACGTTTTATGTTCCCAACAAGGTGGACAAAAATGCTAAACATGAAGGAACTGAAATTGAGGCTGTGACAAAACCAAGGTACAACACAAAGAAAGCATTCTGCTGGGGATGTGAGGTGTACTATCTGCATTTCACCATTATAAACATTCCTTCGTTGAAAAGTACATGTGTTACAGAGGCTAAAGGCCGGTTCACACTGTTACAACCAACTACGATTGAGTCCGACAAAACGGGGTTTCAAGCCGCTTACGATCGCCACTGTTGCTGCGCAGCGCAGTCTTAAGTGATCACAAGAGGCTTAAAACCGGGTTCTGTCTGACTTAGTCGTAGTCGGTTGCAACAGTGTGAACCAGCCTTAATTCTCCCACGAACCAAAAATAGACAACGTCAGAGTACACTAATTTTCAGAAATAATAGATATGGATGTGGTGCACATTTTGTATATTCAAAATTTTTCATTTATTTGTCGTTTAATTTGAATAGTTCTAGAAGTGTCTGCGTTTATATACCTTCCACAGATACATTGTATTTTCAAGAAATAAAATTGTAACATCTTTTTCCACATTATAGCGAACTCAGCTTCTTTTGAAAGAAACAGTAATGGCCGCATTTTGATGTGTCATATTGCCCCATACGCAAGTTAGTCAGGAAAGAAAAAAATCTTTTGCATGAATCTATTTAAAATTGCTACCTTTCTCGTGGTCAGGAAAGAGTTGAAGGTAACAGCACAATAAATAACTCGCACACTCGGACCACACGCACACCAACAGTGCGTGTGGTTTGAGTGTATGAGTTATCTTTTACACTGTTACCTTTAAGTCATGAAATGTACCATTGTTTGCAGTGTATTTGATGAAAGCTGTAGAAAAGCAAATAAATTGGGTCTTTTCATTAATCAATTACAGAGATGAGCTGGCAATCAATCAGACCAGTCATAAGATTTAACCCCCCTGCCTCACAAAAGCTTATAAATATTTTATAACCAGAGGGGAAGAGTTATAAAGGAAAATGGGATTTGTGGTAGAAAAAAAAAGAAGTAAACAAAGACGCAGTAAATGAAACAACTTTGTTTATTGTTTAACATTGCTACGAGTGCATTAATTTCTGTGCCATTGTTTTCCCCGGGCGTTGCAGACCTGGTGTGGCTGTCTCCGCTGGTGGTGTGCGTGTTCCTGGCCTTCATCCCGCTCTGGGTGTACCTGTCGAGGCGCAACCCTTACACCAAGGACGTGCTGTGCACCGGATGGGTGCCCGTCATCTGTGCCATGGGCATTTCGAGGTGGGGCATCCTTCCTGAACTTGGCGCTCGAGGCTGGATGGCCAAAATACCTATCCCCTTTTTTTGTTTGCGAGGTGAAAAGTCATTTTATCACGACCCTTCCTGAAGCGTCGTACCATTGTATAAATTGCACCTACATATTTTTACAGTCAGCGCGGTGATACTGCTTTGATAAGCCTGCTTGTGTGTGTTGTGATGGCAATATATACGCAAGCAGGAGCCAGTTTCACTGTTCTTTCCATTGAATGAAACGAAAAATATAACCCTTGTGGCACATTTCCACATCTAAAGTTCATACCTATAAAAAAATGCATACAAGTCATGTTGCTACATAAAATGCACCAACAAAAATTTAGGGAAAAAAAAAAAAAACATTACATATTGTATTTACTTGCAGATAGAACACATTTTCTTTTCCAAAAAATTTACAGATATTTGGGGAGGGTGTTCATTATGCATGGTAAAATTTTTGCATTTACGCACTTCGCGAAATTATCATTTTAGGTGCCAATATGATCTGGCAGGGTACTGTGGCACGTCTCCACTGATGGAGACGTGCCACTGTACTCTGCCCTGTAAATTTCAAACCCTTTTTAGGGTGCTTTCAGCATGCCTTTTTCCAAAGGAGAAGTGCCTTATGAAGCTCACTCAGCACTAAGAGCGACGCAACCGTTTTTAGACCTAACCACTTTCACGATTTCACTGTCCGGGGCTGGGCAATTTCTCGACCCCAGCTTCATTAGGTGTGCTCGCCGCTCGGTTCCACTGTTGATCACTTCTGCAACTACACACTTGCAGCCATGAGAGCGTGTACTGCTATGCTTAGCTTGGCTTGACTTGGCCTGGCCGCTTGGCGGCAAAAGAAAATTGGCTTGGTGGCTAGCTGAGTTGGATTCAGTTCGAGACTTGTGGAGCCGAAAATCGGAGGTGCATTCATTACACGAGGGGGAAAAGAAAAAACTCCAACTATTGGAGTTTTTGCTTTTGAATTCATTTTGCAAGTGCGTTCATTATGCGAATAAATATGATATACATAGAAAAATATGATCTAGATCAAGCAGCATCACATTCTCTGGACGTCATGGTCTGTGGACAGTGACAAACCCTCGTGGGACTTCGATAGCGGTTTTGCATACATGCGTTGAGTGCACTTTGTTTTATAGGGTAGGTGGTGGTCAGCAATCTGTGTGGTAGAATCGGCACCATGTTAGTTTTTAGGTATCTGTTTGTTACTTATTTTGTTTCATACGTTAGAATCAGGGACGCATCAAAATCTGGCGTTTACGTTATCTGACAGTACTGGCCGCTTTTAAGTCTCTGATGCAGTTTTGGGCCACCTCTTCTGTTTAGTTACATTTTGAAATGTCACAAGTTAGTCTCTCGAAAGCCCTCTGGATATCTAGGTGACAAATAATTGCATGGCACCTATGGAGACTTTTCTTTGGCAAAAAAACTTCTCGTTTTATTCGACCCTGAGGTAATGAGGAATTGTTGCATGTCACAATGTGAACCTGATTTGTAGCTTCCGTCTTTTTGTCTTGCCTACTGCAATGTTTTCTCATTGAGCAGCAACTGAGCTTGTCATCATCATTTCTGTGCAGCTTTCGAGAAAAATTCTATGTATAATTTCATAAGTGAAGAGTGTGCATGTGCCAAGATACTCGAGCATGCGGGTGCCCATAGCTTTGGCTTTGTAGTCTCGGAGAGTAGTCCTCATGTATAAAGCTACTCTACTTACCTACTAAAAATGTGATTGAAGTTTGTGCCGCTCCCCTTTCTGAGCGGAAAAATCTGGAGCACAGAATTCAGCGGAGGCGCCGGCGGTGTGACAACTGGTGCGTGTCAGCCATTCGCAAGCAGAGGCGCCACCGGCGCCTCTGCTGGATTTTGTTTTCCAGATTTTTCCCCTCAGAGAGGGGCGTGGCACAAACTCCTATCATATTTTTGTTAGGGAAATAGACGTCGCACGAGCATAATTTTTTATTTCTGGGATGCTAAGATCCCATAAAATGAGTTATCACCAAGAATAGGCAATCTCAGAAACGTCTTTAGTGCACCTTTGAGGGTTGATTGTCTTTCTATTGCTTTATATTCAGGTGTTCATTATGGTGCTTTTAAGCTAAAGACCTACCTGTCTCTTTAAATGGGATTTTATTTTATTTTTTTCTCTCTTTTGCACTTCAGCTTTTGGTCCCATCACCTGATTGAGTAAACTGGCCAAGTTAGGTTTATGGCACTTTTTTCCAAGCACTTTTTTCTTTTTCTTCCAGTGTTGGTGGCTGTATCCTGGATGCAGCAGTGACCAGGTTTAGCGGTCTTGCAGTCTTTCAGCCTGTGATAAATGGTAAGCCTCCTAAATACTGTCTCCTCTGCGGTGGCTTGTATGTGCTAGAGAGAGCTTTACTGCCTATTGCTTAGAGGCCGTTATTTACGTCTTTTTACACTGTTTAGGAGGAAACAGGTTAAATATACTTTAAAGGAATAAAGAAAAAAACTGGTTGACTCAACGATTTTAGAATTCAAAAGGAGCACTAACTGTTTTCGCGCCGTTTACAGCTACATTTTTTCATGAGAACCTTTTGAAAAGAGAAAGGGTAGGGACGTGGAAGAGGAAAATCTAGCACACAGTGGGCTTCTGTAAGTTATGCCACACCGGGTGTGAGCATGTCGCTGCTGCACATTGAAATGAAGGAACTGTGAAAAACTGTTGCACTGTAGTCATCTATCACTGGACTTAAATGAACCGTGAAAACCTTGTTGCACTATAGTCATCTATCATTGGATCCACCTAGCTGTGTCTTTGCCACTTCCCCCAGATGCTTCTTTCTATTGGTGAGCAATCACATAACGGTTTTGTGATGGTTCATATTTCTAATGCACACGATGGAGCACGATGTCAGAGAGGCGTATGGTCGGCATGGGCATAACCTAAACTTTTGATTAAAAGATTGCTTATAACTAGGCCATACACTTGCCTGTCTTAACTGAAAAACATTGATAAGCATCTGCCGGTGCCAAAAATACCAAATCGGTTAAAGCCGAAAAACGTTGATATTTGCAAGTAGTTGCTCTAAACGAGGGCTGTTTTGTCAAAAAACCTTTCCTTCTTAGACGTTTGTCGAGTGCATACCCTTACCTAGAATCAAGCACCTGTCAGTCCTGAATCGGTAGAATCACTTACCTTGGAGACATTGGTTAGGTCATTTAGCCGGTCACCACAGATTGTCAGAATTTCTTCGTTCTATTCAGGTAAGAGCCTGACGACCATGTTCAAAACTACACTGGCGGTCGTCGTCGGTTGAATCTTGCATAAGAAGGGAGAGCAACTTGCCTTCCCTGTTGCAGGATACAAATAAAGCAAAACACTCCGGGTGATTATGTTAAGAGGGGACACTACCTGGGAATGTCAACTTTTGAAATGCTCACTCAATTGGCGGGATATTTGCAGATAATGTTTGTAGGGATATACAGTAAAACCTCGTTATAACAAAGTTGAAGGAGCGGTCGTAATTATTTCGTTATAACCATTAGTTTGTTATAGCCAATGTCCATTTCTTCTCAATATTAGCAAGCAAGGGGAATTATGATTCCTTTGTTATATCCATTAGTTTGTTATATCCCATTTTGTTATAACGAGGTTTTACTGTAGAAGGAAGGCATGAAAAGTTTCAGCCCTGCATAGCTTTGCATAGAATCTGCTTCATGAATCTATCGTTGAAGAATGGTGTTGATTACCACATATTTTTCTGGTGAAATGCATACTGGAATACCTGTTGCCTGTTACTATGAAAAGAAATTGCAGAAAATACACACTTTTCAAATAAAAAAACTTCTATTTCTTTTTTTTACTTTTACCAATTTTTGCAAATTACATTTTTTTATAATAAAGGAACATGAAAATGCAAAATGTAAGTGTGTAGTAACCGGCTCCATAAAATTTCGGCATATAAGCCGCAAATATTACGTCTCGGTAGTTAACTTATGCCAAAAAGTGGATTGAAAAAAATGCATTCAAAGTGCTCGAACCTCTACCTTTTCTTTAGCATTGGGGAACTGAAAATAATTTATAAAAAATTAACTATGCACTGTGAACGCATGAAACTTTCTGGGAATACTCTCTAGATGTTGGCAGATGTAAATAGAGCATTTTCATAATCAACTGTTTTTTGCAGAAATGTTTTTTCTGGATAGTGTCCCCCCTTAAGGACTACTTGGACTTTGGCCCATGTTCAGACTTGTTGTCCAGTGCCCGCAATATGACGGAGGCTTATTGCGGAGAAGGCGCCGTGTAACCGAGCTTTCGGTTGCACGTCAAAAGATCCCCAGGTAGTCTAATTAATCCTCAGTCCTCCGCAGGGGCGTGCCAGATGCCCGTCGTAGGTTTGGCACGTAAAGCCCCCAAATTTGACTTTTTTACACTTGTTGTCCAGGTTTCGCAAGTACTGTAGCATTATAATAAGCATGAAGCATCGTAAGGCTGTATACTAATTGTAAATTAAATTTGAACCCTTCATTTTTGTGAGTTGTTTCACCGATGATCATTGTTTTTAGTGTCTGTTCATAGAAAATCTCTGAAATGTGCAGATTTTTTAAAAATAAACGCAGAAAAACATTTGCTGGTTTTTCTTCTACATAGAGTCGAACTTGACTCTATTGAACCTGGGTATTTTTAGATATTGTCTATTTGGAACAATGAAAACATCCCCTTGAAAATCCCATGTGAAAGGTTAGACACCTTGTGCATCTGTATCAAACTTCACCACCCCGGAACATTTGATACATCAAACCGCGCGCTGCACCACTGGTAGCGAGGCTTTCCACGAACACTGCCATCGCTGCATGGTTTGCGTGCGCCGAGGATAAACCGCTCTGGCCACAGGCAGTGAAAGTGAAAGGCGCACAGAGGCAGAGGAGAAAAGCGACACCCTGCCTCAGCCCTTTAGTTGTGGCAGCCTGCCTCGCTCAGCTCCATTCCTCAAATCTCGCAGGGGTGGGTGGGAACCTGGTGGCAATCCAGTCGTGCAAGCTGTCGACGTTCCTCGCCCAGCGGTCCAAGATGGGCAGCCACCCGAGCAGCGACAACCAGAGCTGCATCAACCCCTGCTCCGCCTTCTGTGGGAAAAGTTAGTGACGAGACTCATTCTTTTTTTTCCCTTCCTTTCCTTCCTTGCTCTTCTGCTCGCTCTCCGCGACTTTGGCAAGCAGGAAAACCTCTTGCCGGACGCTGTCACCGGTAAACGTTTTCGCAAATGCCAGCGCCCCTACGTTACGGCATCCTTAAGGCTCGTTCACACAGTTGCATTTGACTGCGTTAAGACTGCTCGCGTCGAGCAATTGCTATGGCAACCCTTATGACGAGCCAATGGGGAGGTGCTGTGCTGCACGACGCAATGCGGTGCAACGCAGTCGACGCACCTCTGTGAACGAGCCTTTAAGGCCCTCTCGCTCTGTGTCTAAGTGATCGAGATCTGGCTTTAGGAAGGAAGATGGAGCGGCACATACTATACCCAAATTCAGTTTTTGACGGTGCATTGCAATACGGACTTTGCCCAGTGTTAACGACGTGGCTCCACGGCTACCCAAGGCATGATGTGTTGCACACGGCGTCGTGTCAGAGACGACGCAATCTATTCAACATGTTGTCTAGAACAAAGGTGTGCAAACTTTTTAGGCCCAGAACTCCAAAAATAACCAAACGCCATCCGGCGACCCCACCTTCCTTCCCCCCACCTACCGACGACCCCCTCTTTGCACATCTTCGGACTAGAAGGTATAATGGAGATTAGCGAGCGTAGTAGGGCTGTCTCCGCCATAGAGTTATTCTAATGAACGCTAGAGGTTCAAGTGGCGCTAGTGTGCTGACGCAAATTGAAGCAGACAGCAACCAGTCCGAAATTGACTTCCGGTAATGCATTTCTATGGGAAAAAGTGAGTGCATTTTCTCCCTGCGCTCGATCATAAATGCAAATATCCCGAATAATTCGTCCGTACAAGGTAGCTTGGAACAGTTCTCAGTCAGGCCGATGCAATAATCGGTCAGTTACGGCGTTTTTCTTTCAAATTCATTGCATTTAAAACGGTGCTAAAACGCCTTCGTACGTGTATTTGTGTGCACTGTCGGACACTGTTAGCGCGAACACGACGTCGGCACTTTTCAGCATGGGGAATATACGTGCCAAACGAACGAAGGACATCTAGAAATAAAGGACTGCAAGAAGTACGCAGCAACACTGGATCAGCCACTACTCGTGCATGTACGATCAAAATAAATTGAAGACCATGTAATATATTCGGATTTTTAATAAGTAAGTATACCGCTTTATTCTTTCTGCTCTGTGCGAAGATGCTTGTTCTAAGTTCAAAATATCACCCGCACGCTCGAAATCCTTGAGAACAAGTGCCCGATAAAAGCTGCCGTGTAGAGAAAACAATACGAAGAGACACCTTTCACAGCCCACGTACTTTATTCTTTACGTTTTGAATGTTTTTATCCGCTCATGCACGACGGGGTCAATTTTATATAGTGACAGGACTGGCATATTAGCAATATATAAGCGTCACCGGAATGCTGGCGAGCCTTGAACACACTCTATATTCCTTTTCATTGTAATGTTGCTTTGAATCGTCGCTTGTTTTTACATACATCCTGCAGAACACACGTTTGGGATTGAAATCTAGCGAAGTTAAACATCGTTCACTGATGAAGAAAAATGCGCTAACTAAAGCAATTACACTTTTACAACGTTAATCAAGGTACATACATTTCGGCACGACCCAAATAACCGAAGTGCTCCGTGTTATTTCCCGTCGAAGAGACAAAATGCATGTGCGTTTTCCCATAGAAATGCACAGGAAGACTGGAAAAGTAGACTGGTTGCTGTCTGCTTCAATTTGTGTCACGGAAGTCGCATAGACACTAGCGCCAGTTGAACCTCTAGCGTACATTATAATAACTCTATGGTCTTCGCTTTGCCAAGTACAAAAAATTGCAGTACAGTGTAGACCGCATATAACGTATGTCTCGGGAGTCGCGAAAATCCGCACTATAAGCGGTACCGCACTATAACCAAAACATCAATTTTTCAGGCCAAAATACGTGCCATGAGACAACTTACCTTTGTAAAAGAATTTATTTTATGTTAGATGAAAAAATAAGCTTAGTTTGAGGAAAGTCTTTATTTCAATAGACGAGCACAGTTATGTCTTAAGTGTGTCACACATTTTAAAAGAAATTAGCGGCTTTTGCCTGGCGCAGCCTTTTAACGGCGTCGCGGGTTGCGGACGGACGTTGCGAGCGTTCAGGATTGCTAACCCTAATCACTTTTCGCCGATGAAAGCGCGTGAAAATTCGCATCCTTCATACGGTACGCGTCAGTAATAACTTGAGCTTGAGCACACGCATGAAATGCGCCAAATAAGAAATCCGGGCGATGTTCGAGGACACAAATGCTTAGAAATCACCACTGTAGTCGAAGTAAACAAACACGACGACACGGGCGTTTCTGCCGTCTTGAGAGCGCCGCCACGACATCGCCGCACGAGTAGGTGGATCTTCCCTTCTAGTGCGTGCTGGGTTATCATAGCGACACACAACGAAAATTCACAGTCAAGGATAGCGCTTTTACGCAGAACGATGAGATGCACGCCGTCTACGACGACGATCACAACCGACGCCTTGTTTGCGGAATAGAAGCAGCCGGCCCGCGACCGGCACACCGTCATGCAACGCGCGCGAACACTTCTCCTCGACCTGCGATTGGTCTGTCGTTGCGGTTGTTTGTTTCTTTGTTTCCAACGCAGCGGAGGGACGCACGCACGTGAACGACTCGTGCGTGCGTCCCTCCGTCGCTATGGCAACTGAAGCCTCTCTCTTCGCTTCTCCCGCGTTTTCGAGTAACCTCCTTGCCCCGCGAGTGCAGCTTGTGGCTCGCGCCGTCAGCGCCGTTATCTAGTGTCGCACAGGGAAGCCAGCTCGCTGCTCCGGTCGTCGGCGCGGTCGGCGGGCTGTGCCATAAACCGCACCATAACCGGTATTTCCCTTCGCGCGCCTGCATTTTAAGCGGTATGTAATTACATGGAGTTCTATGGGAGGTGAACCGGTGGTTTAAAAAAACCGCGTTATACCCGGTCCTGCACTATAAGCGGTTACGTTGTAAGTGGTCTATACTGTATGAATGTACAGTTAACCCTCAATAATTCAAAGCCTTTTAATTACAGCTTCCGGGGCCGTTTTTTCTGTAATTCGGTGTCGAATCGGCCCAATAATTCGGCATATTACAGCCCTGTGACCGTTTTGCCCTTCTCCAGGTAGTCGATGTAGATCACACCTTGTGAATCCCAGAAAACGGTAGAAATCACCTTTTCGGCCGATAGGACAGTCTTCGCTTTTTTCGGAGCACGTTCCCCGGGTGAAGTCCACTGTTTCGACTGTTCCTTGGTAAAGATAGATAACTGGGCGAGTTGGTGAGAGTTCATGTTGAAAAACATGAACTCTCACTAGCGCTTTGTCTTGTGTTCTCTTCTTTTCTTTGTGTCCTCGTCTTAGTCGCGCTGTTTTTCAACATGTTCCTTGGTCTCTGGTGTGTACCAGTGGATCCATGTTTCGTCGACGGTCACGAAACGACGCAGAAACTCCTTCGGATTGCGCTTAAACAGCGTCAAACACTGCTCTGAAGTGGTCTCACGGTTGCGCTTGTTGTCCGGAGTGAGCAAACGCGGCACCCATTGCGCCGATTAGGGTGACCACCTTCCCGCTAGCGAAATGCGGGACACGCTGACCGGAGGAAAGTGGGGAGGGGGGGTGTAAGAGAAGAACAGTATTATATTTCGACTGTGGCAACTGCAAAAAAGAGCTTAGTGTGCAGTCAGACTGGTGGAAATTTACCATGATGCTTTTCAACCCGAGACTGCAGCAAGAGGAGGAAACATTTAAAAGAACTTGTTGTTGGGCTAGTTGGTGTTGACTGAATTGAACCATGGTTGAAAGCGCTAAAAAAAGACGTACACAAGATAGAAGACAAACACGGGCAGAAGGCCGAAACATTTGTTTCGGCCTTCTGCCCCAGTCTTAGCTTAAAAAAAAAAGAAAAACGACATAACTGAAAAAGTAACAATTCAGGGAAATTTATCAACACACGCCACGAAATGAGGCTCTGCTAAAGCATTTATTATCGTGTCTTGACCGAAAGCATACTATTCGCAACTCCAGCGCGCCGCTCGCCCTCCCGCGGACGAACGGAGAACCAGAGGATCGGGGACGGCAGCGTTGGCGGCGGCGGCGCGGAAACGGTGGCAGGGGCTCTCGGCCTTGATGCGTGAAGCCGTTTTAACGAAAACAGTGAGCGCGTTATAAGGGGAATTCTCGTACTCCGCCTTGCAACAGCCTTGCGCGAAGGACCGGGATGTCTAATTTCATTAGGGACTTTTCGTGTATCGCATACGCTGCGGATTTCTGGTCTTGTGCATGGCCGCCAGCTCAATCTGTGCTCAACCTGACGGCAAATGCTCCCGCTAATAATGAAGAACTCTATAGTATGGTCTACGGAAAGTGTATTCTTTGCCATAAGTAGGAGAAAACTCGTCGCGCAACGGTATGTTGGGAAATACAAATCGGGAATGGGTTCGCGTTTTAAGGCCGTTACAAGGAACACGGCCATTTATTCCAAGCACTTTAAAAAGGCAGAATACCTGTACTTGCTTTCAAGTAATTACAAAGCAACTAAAAAAATGCTCGAAGCATTTTAAGCGCATCTGTGTTAGCCAGCCGTTCGTGACGAGAGCTTAGAACGCGCAGTTTTGGCCGGAGGAACCGCAGTGTTGCAAATAACACGGTACAAAAAATGTATGGTATATTAAAATATTTATTTTTAATAGAGCGATAAATAAAACCCCTAAATACGCCGATTATGTTAATAGGCAGATTTTGCATAGCATACGATACCCCTAAACTTCAGTTGAACGTACAGCGCACTGACGTTCAACCGGTACTACCAACTTTCATGAGCGGCTTGATAGCCGAGTTGTGCAACTTATTAAAATAGCTTAAATAAGTGTTCTAAATGACTGTAAAAAAAAGTAATCGGGGTTTTTAGGGCTTTACTACAAAACCTCGACGGTTTTCTTTTTTTTTTTTTTTCAGTACTCTCTGATGCGTATTTTAGCTGTTTAATATTGTATATTGCGCCGTCATCAAGCCTCTCGTACAAGTTGGGGCCGTCAGTTTGACGTCAGTGGGTTGCACGGCGAACTGAAGTTTTTAGGTGTCGAATATGTGACAAGGAGTGTAAGAACTACATCTTTTTTTTTTTTAGAGTGATGAGCACGGCAACGCTCCTGGAGCGCACTGAAAATTGTGCTTCAGAGGCGCAGCGCGAGCTTGCGGTTGTAATGCTACACCGCACGGTAGCCTGCGGTAACAAACTTTTTATCAATAACCATAGAGCAGTTTGATTACGTGTTGCAATACACTAAAACCGAGACGGTGAGCAGCGATACGAGAGGCTGTGACGCGAAGACACCAATACTGTGAACGCTGCTCTTCCGAAGCTTGACGGTCAAAGTTCGCGGCTCTCTTTTTAGAGCACTAATGGCCAGGCAAAGTGCAAACATATCTTCATCACTCTCAAAAATATTCTGCCACAAACAGTAACGTGGCCGGTGCCTAAAACGCGCTCGCTCACCAAAAAGCTTCGCAATTTGAGGTTTCTGCAACTTTTAAATAACAACATGCTCGTTTTCCTAACGTGCATTAGCATCTCCGTCACTTGTAATATGATCCCTCCCTAACCGCTTCGCATTTGTAGACAAATAAATCATTTTAGCGCGCTGAACAGCGTCAGCGAGCAGGCGCACAAGATATCCTGGAGAATCTATCCCCGTCTCTTCCGCCATCTTGGAACTACCGCCCCGCCACCTATAGGGCGTTGGAGTTGCGAATACTGCTGAATATTGTATTGCAGCAATTAAGCTAATAATTTTCACTCCCAGTGATATATTTTAAGTTTTCATGCCACATATGCTGACCAAAGGGCCTAAGTTGAAAACATAAAATCGACAGCAGCAGAACTCAATGCATCGGAAGGATAGAAGAAGCAGTAAATCTTTAAAGGCTTCTGGTTTCCTGTCGATTCTTATTTTTTCCAACATTTTCCTACGCAAATTTTGAACCTTATGTTGTTATTTTTTACCTTTTTGAGTTGCAGTTTTCTTGCCTTGTTAAGTCGTCTTCAATAAAAAAATAAAAGTTTTTTTTACAGCGATATTTTTGCATTGACACTGCACGATTTGGAAATAATTAAAATAATTTCTTTTGAACTTTTGGTGAGCAATGTTTTTTTTGCAATATTTTGCCACAATGGCGCATGCGCGTCAGTTCTCCTGCAAGAACGACGGTCGCTTCCCGCTATGCTTGGATAGAAAATGTTGTACCATCGCGATTCACATACTGTTCACCAGGGATCTCCGCGCTTCCCCGTGCCTCGTTGTTCATCAGCACCATGAGTTGCCTAGTGAATTCTATGACAGTGACAAATGCGGGACATTTTGAAGATTTTCAGATTTCTTCTGGGACGCGGGACACGAGCCCTCAATGCGGGACAGTCCCGCGAGTCGCGGGACGGGTGGTCACCCTAGCGCCGACAGCTTTCTCATGCCCAAACTTTCATGCAGGATATGACCCACGCGGTCTTTAGGGATGCTTACTGTCTCAGCTACCTCGCGCACCTTCAATCAGCAGTCTGCCAATACGAGATCGTGTATTTTTGTCACATTATCCCCCGTGGTAGCCGTTTTCGGGGCACCTAGGCGTGACTCATCAAAAACCGACGTGCGACCACGTTGAAACATGTTAAGCCAATTTTTGACGGTCGCCATTGAAGGAGAACAGTCACCGTACACAGGATCCAAGCGCTTTTTGATTTCACTGCGCGATTTCCCTTCCAAAAACAAGAATCAAATCACCACCGATATGGCTCTTTTTCCATTTTTCTAAAATTCGCGAACACGCCCGCTTCCACATGCGGTCAAAACAAAACTACGAGTCCGATTTGTTTGAAATTTCGATAGTAGCCATCTACGAGAATGTAATACACGATAGTAAATTTCTCTTGCAATAGTGGCGCCATCAGGCGGTGAGGCTAAATACTTGTCTGACCGTCCTCGTATATACCGTAAAATACCGGGCAAGCGCCCACTCAAAATTTTGAGATAATCATGAAAAAATGGGGGATGGGCACTTGTCCGGTCATCAGTTCTACATATCAACGTACTGTGCATATTTTCTCAGATTTTACAAATTTGGGTATGGGCGCTTAATGTGGTATGGGCGGATGCACGGTATTTTACGGTAGTATAATACATTCAGGGGTGTGACATCTGCACCAATTGCACTATTTTGATACAAACGCAAATTTCTGCGCCTAATTGCGGCAAAAACGGGAAATCAGTCGAAACTGCGCCACATTGCGCCAAGGCAACTCGAAAACTAAAAAAAAAAATTTGTGGCGACGCTAGTTTTAGGAAAGACGAAAGCTTGGTTAGCAGCGTACAATCTCGTCGTAGTAAAGTACACGGCACGGGTACAGGGTGGCGCAAGAGACCGCCGGATTCGAAGATTTCAGCCGTAGTACCCTTCTGTACTTATGATATGTTTTCTTTTCCCGATTTTCCTACTACTTTCCGCTGTCATTTGTGGCTGCATGCTAATGGTATGCTGTCACGCGATCTCGCTGTCTGGCCGCGGGAGGTACGATGCACAGGCTGTCAAGATAAGCAAACCTAAATATTTTAGGTATAAGGTTTAAAAGCGCAAACAGACAGGGACAATAGAAAATAACACAAACGACAAGGACAAGGCGCTTTGTCCCTGTCGTTTGTGTTATTTTCTATTGTCCCTGTCTGTTTGCACTTTTAAACCTTATACCTACCATGGACCAACTAGCCCAAACCAAAGTTTTAATGACTAAATATTTTGTTCGTTTTGAGAGCAAACCTTTTCTTAAAAGTGCTATTGAGCGTCTCCATTGTGTAATTGTTCGTTTGTGTCCGTAATCTCGTCAAAATGGACGGCGCCGTCGCCTAGAGTACTTTCGGTTATCACACACATGCTTCCAGAGCGTGAGCAATCGAATGAATTGGTCACACACCCGTATTTAGCGTGCATGTGGTGCTCATAGTTTTTCTACCGATTCACTATTTACCTTGTGACTCACTTTTATGGGGAGTTTTTTTTCTATCGGCACGTGCTTTCTACGAGCGTCCGATCGATGTCTGGTTGTAGTAAACCGTGCTTCCCTGTTCATGCTCTCGAATCACCGCTTTAAAAAGTTTTGCATTACCATTGCGCTTTGGCACCAGTTTGTGTAAGCTTGAAGTACCTGGTGCCCACCTAACTTTGCAGCAAGCCTGCGCATGAAGCACACATTTGCCTTTTCCGTTTTTTTTTCTTTTATATTTTATCTCGGTGCGTATCGGTGCTGATGACTTATTGGGACCAAAGTGGACAAACTTAACAATTAAAAAAGAAAAATCTGATTTATGTGATTTAGATAAGATTTTTTTATGATTTCAGTTGCTGATAAGCTGCTCTAACATTTTCTGCTCCTAATCTGCTCCAAACTGTAGACTTTTGTGCTTCGAAGTTGCTCCAAAATGCATAAGCTGCTGCTCCAAAACGAGAATTTTATGCTCCTAAGCTGCTCCAAAATCCAGATTTTTCTGCACCAAAAATTGCTCCAAAACCTGTTCCACTTGTCTCACCCCTGTATATTTGAAGTTTTCTGAATTCAAAACATTTCGCTTCCCCATGAACTTAGATCAGCTATTGTTGTGAAAATATTTGAATTTTAGAATAGTAGTTTTTGAATAATACGCTATTCGGTATTCGGTTTGAGATGAGCTGCGATATTCGTATTTTTTGAAGTGCTGACCGCGGTAGGTTAGCCTTGTGGCGCGTGCTTCTTACCAGGCACCGGTGCTCTGCGGAGAACCCATACCCGCACAGCTCGCTTTCACTGGTGCTGCTTCTCCACAGTGCATTGGTGGTTGGTGAGAAGTGCACTCAACGGGGCTAAAGCGCCACAATCAGCACTTCGAAAAGAGCCACGCGCTTAGGAGAAAACCACCCTTTCAAAGTGGGATGATGCAGTCGCATGCCTGGTGGACTTAAAAAAAAACACGAAAACTTCGGGAATGTTTATGCCTACATTTTGAAAATCAAAATTTGTAATATTGAACCAGCTAATAAGCATGTGTATATGTTTGGCCGAAATGCCTTGACAACCCGTGTTACCATTTGTGAGTGTAGAGAATATATTTGCATCTAGCAAGAATAGGGATAAATCCTCTCGAGTAGGTATACCTGGGCATCTCTGTGGTTTTCATTTTATGTCAAGTGCATCGATTACTTGCCATCCCAATATAAGCATTGAACTTTCTGAGGCAACAGTTTATAAATTTATCTATATCTAACTTAATTTAGCTTAGAAATAGACAAGTAGATGCTTGAGAGAAACCTTCACTAGTTCAGCTGTTTTTTGATTTAACCACGGTGCAGTAGTAAGAGGCTTGGAGAAACTATTTGTTATTAGATTTGAAAATATTCAGCCAAAACCGCTATTGGCTTTCAGTTTGCTTCGAACTCAAAATCTACTATTCGCACATGCCTCTAGTTGACTGTCCCTGTGAACTTAGAATTACCAAGAGTCGACCATATCAGTGAGGGTGAGTCTGTCTGGAAATGGCACCTTAGATCTCTGCTGTAGGGGGCCAATTTGGCCAATGCAGTGCAAACGCTAACCTTGTGCAGTAAGGGCTATGCGAATGCAGACTCTATTCCTGCTGAAACTTGTTTGTGTGCCCTTGCGTGTACAGCTTCCCACTCCCGCACGGCCCGGCTGCTGATGCTGATGGTCCTGCCGGGCCACGTGATCTTTGTATACACGATCCGGCTGCTGAGTGCGGGCCACACTGTGATCACCCCCATCTTTCTCGCCTGTTACCTGACGGCCTCCCTCTTCCAGGTGGGTGGGCCACTACCTTGGCCGGCAATGTTATGCAGTGTGTCCACTGTGTCTCCTACGCCGTAGAAGACACCGGCGAAATTGGTGCCTACACATAGAAAGCTAAAACTTTCATTGAACTTACATTTAGGTGGTGAGCTTTCCCTCATGCAATTTCAAAGCTCCCTTCCTGCGAAACTCTATGCCAAGAAACCTGCCAGGGCCAATGGCGGACGTGTTCACGGACATGTTCACGGACATCCGAGTTAGCGATGAACGTAACTTGCAGTGCCGCCTCCCAATAGGTGCAGCTAGGAGACAACAAAGGGCATCATCTGCTTGCCGTGCCTATCGGGAGATGGCGCCACGAGTTACATTCATCGCCGACTCGGTCGTCCAAGAACGCATTTGCCGTCGAGTTTGACGAGTTTGTTGGTCTCGTTTATTACGAGAAGAGAACTAAGCCTAAAAAATTCACGAGGTAAAATCCACCACCTAAATGCACAATCGGCGAGTGTTTTATTGTTCTACATGCATGCAACAATTTTTCCAATTCGTTTTACGGGGTACAAGCGTTTTTTTTTTGTGGTAATTGAGATTTTGTTTTGGAACAAAATGTCCCTGAGTGGTCGAAATTAATCCTCGGTCCTTCGGCGGGGCGTGCCAAACACCCTTCGTCGGTTCGGCACGTAAAACCGTCGTATTTGATTTGAGCGCCGGCATGAAGGACGAAGACCATCGCCACTTTCTTTGCCCCTCCCCCAGGTGGCCCTGCTGCTCTATTTTGCCCGCTGCATGGTGTACTGGATGTGGGGGCGGCGCATCGACCCTGACAACGCAGCCATCCCTTACCTGACCGCCCTGGGGGACTTGCTGGGAATTGCCCTTCTCGCCCTCTCCTTCTGGTTTCTGGACAGCCTTGGGGACGCCAGCGTCACAGCCTCGGGATCTCCGCCCATGCATGGGGAGCCCCTCTCCTCTGCGGCCCCCTCCGCCGGCTACTCCTACCTCTCGACGGCTGTGGTCCCCACCCCGCTTCCTCTGGACTAGGCCAACACTGAAGACGGGGGCTGCGCCTTCTCCCCCGACCCTCCAAACGTCGTCACTAGCAGATCAGCGCGGCACCGCCCAGCTCGCAACGGCGTCGCCTTTGGCACACCTTAAAGCCTGTTCACACAGGAATGTCATCTTACATTACGTCACAAGTCAACAAAACATCCGTGCCTTGAGCGTCGCGTGCGAGGCCACTTCTTGAACTGGTTGCCACGCTTCGTACAAAGCACAGATGTCCCGGCGACTCTCAACGTAAGCGGATGTAACGTAACGTGAGCAAACGGTACTGTTCGAATTGGACTTTTCGGCATCTCGAAACGACCGCGACTCTGGCACGCGACGACGCCTAGGCGGGCGCTCTTGCGGCTTTGCAGCGATTCTTGTTGGGCGTCGGCGCGTTCGCCGCTTGCGGCGGGTCGGGGATTGACGGGCAACATGTCTCGCTCGGGCCCCGTCTTCTAGGCATTAACGACTACGCTCTGTCTTTCCCACACGTTCAGCACAGACATCGTCTGCATTTTGACGTGCTTACGGTCGGTGCCGCCCGTTCTCGGTGGTAGGGTGCCGTGCCGAGTGGGCGCCTGTGCCACTTGCGTCTCGTTTGTTTTTGTTTGTTGCACGTGCAGCCCCAATCCTGCTTAAGCTCGTTGCCAATCGTTGCGACCGCGGTAGACTCCCGCGAACGAAGATTGGGGTTGTCTCATTGGCATCTTGCACGGTTTCAATGATGCAACCCAAAAATGCCACTTCGTGCCGACAAAACGGTTGTCTGGCGGCATATTTACATGTACGACAGGGCTGTGCTAGGTTTGAGGAGTATACAGGAGAGATGCGAAGTATGGGAATCAATCTGGAAGTGTATGTCGACAGACGGCGGTTGATTGTCTGCACCCGGCTCGTTTGCGGCCACATCTGTTACGCCGAGGTACGTCATCTGTTTAGTTTTCCCCGGTTTCCCCAGCGTCTTCCAGCTTTGTCAGGGTTTCCTTCTAGCTTTCCCGTCTTTCGGCAACACTCCTCAAGCACCGGTCCTTGGGCTTCTAAGCTTTTGCTAGTTTTCTTAATGCCCGAGGTGGAAATATATATTTTATGTTGTTTTAAGGTTCTCTTTACCTAATAGCTGTTCTCTCAAATTAATATGTGGTCCCTTTTTACAGATTTCTGATTCTGCCAGATAGTTAATTTAGAAAAATAGTTTCACTTTTCCATTGCATTATTTTGTCTTTTTACTCATTTTGCATTTTGTAAATTTTTCATTTGCATCTGTAGAAAGGGTCGTTTCATACGACAATTTCACTTCGCCGTTTTCTTTTTCTTTTTAGGGCGTACAATGTAACGGAGAAGGGTTGGTTACGATGTAATGTCGTATCTGTGGTGATGGGAACGTGAGTACAGTTCAGCGTCGCTTTCCGATGGGGCTGCATATTTTTTTTTATTTTTTTTTTAAGATGCGAGGTTTGGTTTTTGAAGTTTACTTGTTCCGTTGGCTGACCCAAATTACAATGCACTTGCGTACCCACTTGGCACCGGCTGTTGGAGCATTTAGATACTGGTCACCCCTGTTGAATATTGTAAAACGGTGGTGAGCTTTGTTAACGATTCCAACCACATAAATTACGACCCCGCGTACTTCCCAAATGATTAGTTACGAACCAAAGATTTCCCCATATTGTAAACTTTACCCACTCAACTCCTGCCTAGAGTGTGTCGATTCGAAATGTCTCCTGGTGATCACAGGCCCAGTGATTTAAAACTGTGGCCGTGCATCACACTTTTGTGGCTGCATATGTCATTCACCATATTTATGCCATCCATTTACACGATCGATTGCGAAAAACAGAAGAGGCTGCAATGACGGCCTTCCATTTGTTCATTCGTTTCGTTCTGCAGTTGCTCGGAAAGCATTGACAGGTATGCTTTACACGTCCGTCTGAGGGTTTCAAAGTGGGCTAATGGGACCCGAGAAATGCGTGAATGTCCCGTACGTATCAGCCACAGTTGTGTCCAGCGGTGCTTTCACTCAGTCTAGTGGACTTCAGAAACTTGAACTCTAGGAGAGTCACTAGCCTGCGACACGCAACGGAAAAGTCCAATGATGCATCATGGGTGGCCCCACGTCAGAAGATTTTTGCCGCGCTTGCAATGCCAGGCTCGTATTTTTTCCCCGTTATAGAAGCCTGGCAGCAGCGCTTTTGTGTCGTCAACCACCGCGACACCAGTCTTTCAGCTGTACAGCCTGGGTCTGCGTTATGAGTCCTTTTTCTCGATGGTCGTACGTGTATGTGTGCATGTTTTTCCGCATGCTTTTTTTCTCGCATGCTTTCGGTGTTGTGGGGCATTTGTCTTCTAGACTGTCTCTAGGGTGGCGTGTGTCAGAACTGTGAGTCATTTGTTTGCTTACCTGCCCTCGAAACAAAGAAGACTAAATTACAATGTGGGAAACATGTTTATTCCGGCCGTTGCAGCCGCAAAGACATCTAGCCAACGCCGGATCTGTCTTTCGTCTTTCTGCGTGGGACGTGTCGTGTTTAAACGTGCGTTTCTAGGGAAGTGCCTCAGGTTCTAGGTTTGAGCTTCTAATGCCTTGTGGAGGTCTGTGCATGGACATAAACGTAGTACTGTTGTTGGGGCAGCCCGAGACACGCCCGGGAAACAACTTTCCGCCAATCTCGCTTTGCGAGGCATTGACGTCTTTCCAAGCGTCGGTTAAAGATTCGAAGCAAGGTTGACGGTACGCCAACTCGGCTTTGATCCTCGTTTGGCAACAACTGTTATTGCAGCAGGACAGAAAGGAATAAGGCAGGTGTGATCCTGGACGTGTTTGTCTTAGGACTTTGGGAGGGCAACACTTCCGGCCCCCAGTTCCGCGCAGCTTTACGAATAAAAAAACTATTTTACTTAGCCTAGGGAAAGGGACTCGTGGACCGTAGGTCTCGAAGTGGTTCTCCACGCAATCTCTTCGAAGTGCGACAAATGGCCCGAGACACCCCTCGTTGTTAGGGTGGTCCCAAGTCAGCAGAGTCTCGGTGAATCTAATAGTAGCCTGCTACAATCCCTGTTGAAAGTCTGCATTTTTCTTTTTCTATTATTTATGCGGGGCATAAGTTTATTTTTTTTCTAGTTTGTGCTCCCACATGCTTTGGGCCTGTGCGACCCCCTCTGAAGCCGACTTTTGTTGAGGTCTTTGCAGTTGCCATCATGAGCCTCCATGCAACAGCTTTGTTTTCACTTTCCCGTCGTCCCCGACGCTCCTGCCAGCTGTTGTGCGGCACATGGCTGTGAGAGGAGGGTCTAGTCAAGCAATACAGACACCGGGCAAATATTTCGGGAGTTCACAGCTTGTGCATCCTTCTTGTCACTGTTTTCGTACCTTTACACCTTCTTTGTTATTTATTGAACACTTAGTTGTTGCTGCTTTTTATGGCCTCATTCTCTATTGTTTTTATTTCTTGTTTACACTTTTCAGGTAATTTTTGGGGCATCCCAAGCAGACTAAGCCTACGGCTGATGAGCATTTTCTTTTTTAGAGGCTTTATAGTTGCTTTTTGCTTTTGCCACATTTCTTACTGGTTTTGGACAATTTGTTGGGATCCTTTTTGTTATTTGGGAGATGTTTTACTTCATTGCTCGACTACAAAAGAAATCTTACTCGATCTCTGTGTGCCCACAGTCTGCAAACGCAGCCTCGCGAACGAATCAATCGGGTGAGAAAGAAAACCTCAATCCCCTGTGGTCCTCTGGCCACGTCGATGCATAATCATGGGCCTTTTGCAGCAGCCTCCTTAGCACGTGGATGTGTAAGGTGTGTTGTTTCTGTGTATTGGCTGGATGGAATCAATAAAAGTTGAGACCTGACGTAATTCGAGCGATTCCTCGTATGGCGGGGTTGAAAACCCACCCTCCTGGAACGCAATTTCGAGAATGACGCATGAGAGGGGTTTGCCTTGGGAGCAAAGATAACACTTCCCACGGATCATCTGCAGTCAACTGGTGGATGCAGATAAAAACGAATAAAAGTTGGCAAATTGTAGATCGGATGCAGATGCCCGGGGCTGCGGATGCGGCTATCCGCAAGTCCGAATACATTTTGGCCAAGGCAGCCCATAAATGTGTGCGACCAAAGTGTGTAGAGCGAATAAATGAGCGATCTTTCCAAGTGCATCACCGAACGTTTTGTGGGAGCAAATTACTGTTAGTAGAAAGTTGCCAATCGGGGAAAAATCGTTTTTTACGTCAAGGAAGGATTCTTACCAAAGATTGCTTGAGAGCGTTCTAGCTCGCGCAAAATGCTGTCCCTAGAAGAAGTAAAGAATGCAGGGGCATCAGTCATCCCGGGAAACCATGTCCTTGTTTGACAAGGAAACAGCTGAAAACATTGCACAAAGAAATCCCAAAACATACAGGCCACAGTAGAAGAGGCCTCAGTGCTCTCAGTTATGGGATTGCTACACCAAACTGTGCCAAAGTGCTTACTTAACCCTGCTACTTATTGCCAGAATGTGAGGACTTGGCGCCAACATTTTGCCAAAACTTGATTTCACTTCTGGGGTGATTTCATTACAAATCGTGCAGAAGATATGTTATTTCTCAAAATCTTTTGAACAAATAAATATGTATATATGCTTGGCGAATTTTCACTAGGACGAAACGAAAACATTTTTCGCGTCGTTTTTAGTTTTTCGAGTTTATTTCTAAAGGACCAAAGACTGGTTTTAGGATTTCGGCGATTGTCACAGGTCGCGCATTGGGGAGCTTCTGGCTCGGATACCTACCGCACAAGGACACTTTTTGAAATGCTTTTTTTTTAATTGCACTAAAATTGCAAGGTATTCATAAGTTTTTGCTGTTTTGTAAAAACTTTCGAACCTGTCCCCTTTGACGATAATTTACCAGATTTAGATAATTGGCAGCTTTTGTAACAATCAATTTTATCATAAAAATTGATCATAAAATGAAAGTTAAAAAAAAAACTATTCAACAACACGTAGCATCCAATGTCGTGCGAACATTCCCTGGGTGTTCTGAATGTTGAAGGAACGTTAAACACCATTCGGAACGTTCTAGGAACGTTCGTATGCGAACATTCCTTACAAGGTATGCTGCTCAACATTCTAAAAACGTTTGTTGGCGAACATTCGTATGCACAATGTTCTCGGAACGTTCCCCTTTGAACATTCATATGTGCAACATTCTTAGAGCGTTCGCTTCCGAACATTCCTAGAATTTTCGCAGGTGAAGCCAACTTTACGGAGCTTTCAAGCAACCTGTGTTTCGAAACACCATCCACTATATGCCACTTTGTGCCAAAAATATGCAAATTAAGTGGAGGTTTTGGAAACTTAGCATAAGGGATCAGTTTTATCTTGTACGAGTGTACCGAGGAATGTGAGATAAGGTGTAGGAGAAAAGCAGTGGTCTTCAAAATTTGATAACGAGTTTGGCACTCACTGCGTATGTAGAGGGGCAGTTTTGAATAGACCCGATTTTAAGCATCTCGGATTTAATACCTTGAAGAAGGTATGTCCCGCTGAAGTGTGGGACGCCGTAGGTATCTGTTCTTATGCTCAGAGTGAGTAATCGGTTATGTATACCGCACGTTTTGATAAGTAGGAGTAAACTGCCGTTATAGTACAGGATGTGGCTAACGCGCTGGTAAAGCCGTCTAGGTTGCGCTAGGCCTAGAGAAAATATATTTCGATTAAAAAATATCGATCGCTCTTTGAGATTGATTATATCAATATATGTAGTACGCCTCAGTGGGGATGTAAGGTGAGCAAGCTATAATTGTGGAATCTTTGTAAACATTCCTCAGAGAATGTTGCAGACGTTCTTTGGATGTTTTGGGAACGGTCTTAGAACATAGTTAGTTTTTGTCGTGCTTAGAATGTTCTAAAAATATCACCTAGAAAACATTCCCCGAATGTAGCGATAAGTGCCTGCGCCACATTCTGACAACGTCGATAGAATGTTCTTACGTAAATTTGCAACATTCAGAGAATGTTGCAGATGTTCTGAGAACCTTGTTAGGATATTTCAATGTTGATTGAATGACTTGGTAATGTTCTATGTCGTTCTCAGAACGTTCTAAGATTATCCCTTTGAAGACATTCCCCGAATGTAGCGATAAGTACCTGCGCCACATTCTGACAACGTTGATAGAATGTTCTTACGTAAATCTTCAACATTCCAAGAATGTTGTCTATGTTATTTTGAACATTCCCGGAATGTTCTCAGAACGTTTTCGTGCTACGTGGGAGCACAATATCGTAAAAATCGTAAAGTTATCTTGGCCAGTTTCATTGAGTGCGCTTCTCGTCGCGCACTGGTGGACCGCAGTGAAGCGAAAACGGCTGAGTAAGCATAGAGGATTTGCGGGTCTTGCTTGCTTTGCCGCAGCGCACTCGCGTGCTAAGGGAAAGCACTCCACCAGAGCGGGGCATTACCCTTAATTTTGGACTAAAACTGAGGCTAGAATATAATAGCCTGCGATAACATGACAATATATTTTTTCCAGTTTGAGATTTAGCAAGAATACTTACGTATTGCAAGAAAATGTATATGGATTATTCTCTAGGTTATTTTTTTATGCAAACTCTCGTTTAGTTACCACTGGCATAAATGTGGGCAAATTAGAACTAAGTTAGCTGGAGCAGTGGATGGAAACTTGTGAAGAACCCTAGCGAATTCGGCGGGATTGTGTGTAAGAAGCCATACTAATCGATCACATGACGATTTTTGTTACGATATTCTGCGCATAAAATGTAATTGACGTTCATAATCGGATAAGAAAAAGGCTTTGTTTTTTTACTTGAATTAAGAATTGCAGTTTTATTACAATTTCTAGAACTTGAACGGTACATAAATTGATGTGCTCGAAATAATTCATTCTAACATTATTTGAGTGGAAGTCTGTGCCGAAAATAACCTTTTACAGCAGTTGGTGCTGTCCTTTACGTGTCTGGTACTTCTACACGAAACTAAACAGCTAGCTCTGTGTTTGAGGAAATCACTCCTGCTGTGCAATCAATATGCTAACAAAGGGTTCCAGGTAAGTGAGAAGGCAAAGTAGATGATGCATTTTAGTTGGACAGCTAGGCCGAGACATATACCTCAACGTAATATTTGCAGTGATATACTGTCGATTCATATCCGAAAGAAACTCCGCTCTTCATACTTTTCCATGATACTGCTTTCTTTTGGACAGTACTGTTTCGTTTAAATGTTTTCTTTTCAGCCCTTTCTCGCATAAATCAATCGGAACAACACTACTGCAAGCTCTGCTCAAGGGTGAGTCCTCACGAACTCTCACTCAGCAGGAGTGACTGTCAAAAATAAAAATATGCGCTCGATCTTCTACACATCAACAAATACCCTTAAGATGAAAGTATTTTCTTGTAGTGCTGCTCAAAAAACAACCAGAAAAGCAAAAAAAAAAAAAAAGAAGTATAAAAATGTTTATTTTGATACCGGTTGAGCATAGTAAAATGTGCGACAGGGTAACGACAGTATGTTTGCTCTTCTATCGAAAAGTACCAAGACGGCGTTTAAACTTTCATCACATCAGGTGTGGGCCCAAAGTAGTCGTACAGAAAATCAAATCTACAGGGGCCACTGGAAAAACGGCGAGCTTGGAAAAAGCAGAGAGCAGGAAGTACCTACTCTAGAAAGTCTCGGGCGTCATCCATAGAGACGGCTGAGTTTGCAATGTTCTAAAAAGCGCCATTGCTGGGTTTATTTTTTCATCCGAAAATATAAAATTATATAGTTTCTTGCGCGCAAATGTCTTTATTTGTTATGCGAAAATTTAATGAACAAATAGAGCCCGAGTGTTGTTCAACTGCATGCTTTCCTTTCGGTAGAAGGCGCTGCGCCTTCTAGTCCACCTGGTCGTCGGATTTTCCGATGAGGTTCTTGAATTGCTTGGCACACTCCTGTAATGTTTGCAACCAGCATAAAGGCCACGTGGTAAAAGCCTATTCACACAGAAGCGTTTGCTTGCTTCCTATGTCGCGTGCAAAGAAGATAACCGTTGCTGAACGGGCAACACGCCAGCACCGTCAGCGGCACCGAAAGGAATGACGGGAAAGCCCTGTTCGGGATAGTCGTAGTAGACAAATATGGCACCTGGAACGCGTCTCCGACTGGGGTGTTTGGTTTGTCGGGTCCCAAAGCGTCCCTCAATTTCCTCTCGATGACGTCACACAAGTGGCATGCTGTCGCCGACCACGATCCTAGCGGTATCACAGCTGCAGGTTGGATATGTGGCAGACGCCTGTTGCAGGTCGCTGTCCAGCTTCACAGTCAACGGAAGCAGCAGCTGCAGGTATTCGAACACTGCGACGAGCAGGGGACACAGGAGCGATAAAAACGGGTGTCGCGCGGCAGCGCGCACCAGTGTCGACTGGGTGATGGCCAGGCTAGGGTGACCACCTTCCTGCTAGTGAAATGCGGGGCAAGACGTACACAACGAACCAATTAAGGCTCTGTTAACACATTTATTATCCCGTACTGTTTATATACCTGCTAATTGTATTGCAGCAATTAAGCTCAAATAATTTTCACTACCAGTGATAGATTATTTTGAATGCCAAAGATGGTATTACATGTGCCGAAGTTGAAAACATAAAAATCGACTGTACCATAACTCAATGCATCAAATGGAAATAAGAAGCAGTAAATATTTTTCTAGTTATTGTTTCCTGTCCACGCTAACCGCTCATTCCCACTGGAAGCGGATCCGCGTTCGCAAAGCGGTTGCGAACGCGCTTGTATAAAGATCCAGTACAATTGCACGCGCACCCGATGACATCAAGTACAAGCGCGTTCGCAACCGCTTTGCGAACGCGGATCCGCTTCCAGTGTGAATGAGCGGTTACTTCTATCAACATGGCCCTACACAAATCTTTTAACATTATGTTCTTTTTTGACCGTTGCATGTGTGGCTGCCTTCACTAAAAAACAAAAAAAAATGAGAAATCCACAGCAAACCTTTCGCATTGGCATGGTACTACACAAACTTTTAACATAATATTATTTTTCGACCGTTGCATGTGTAGTTGCCTTCATTAAAAAAAAAAAAAAATACAGCACACCTTTCGCATTGGCACGGCAATTTGAAAATAATTACAATATTTTATATTTAAACTTTTGGCGAGAACTTTTTTGTACAATATTTTTCCACCAAAGGGAGAGCCACAACGGCGCATGCGCGACGGTCCTCTTGCAAGAACGACGGTCGCTTCCCGCAAAGCTTAGATAGATCATTGAACACGGCGTACCATTTCGATTTACACAATTACTAGCGACTTCCGCACTTCCCCGTGCCCCATTTTTCGGCAGCACCGTGAGTTGCGGAGTGAATTTTACGACAGTGTGAAATGCGGGACATTTTGTAGATTTGGGACTTTCTCGGGCGGGACGCGGGACACGAGCCCTCAATGCGGGACAGTCCCGCGAGTCGCGGGACGGGTGGTCACCCCAGGCCAGGCTCTCTAAATCGACCGCAAAACTCGGTTTCTTAACCTAACGCGCTACAACTTTGTAAAGCGTTGCGCACAGATGGTGTTTTTTTTTTTTTTTGTTTTTTTTTGTAAAATTTTTCCTCAAGCGAATTTGCTTGAGGAAAAAGTAAAGAAAAGGAAAAGACTTAGCTCTTATGGAAGCGCAGCGAAGCTACCGGTCTTCAAACCATAGGGCTAAGTCTTTTTCTTTTCTTTACTTTTTCCTCAAGCAAATTCGCTCTTCACAAATTTTATAGGAACAACGTACCACCTGTGGGCAACACTGCACAAAGTCGAAGCGCGATAGGTTAAGAAACCAAATTTAGCGGTCGATTTAAAGAGCCTGGCCACTGCTGGCGTCTTTACGTCACTTCTGCGCGGCGCCGCGGTGGTCGGATCTGGTCCATACAAATAAAGCCGCGCGGCGCGCCTAGGGGCAAGCGGAGAGTGCCGCGCGGCGCCCACTTTGATCGCTTATGTGTTCTATGCTAACACTCGCATTCCCTCACGTTTGCAAGTCCGGCTTCAGGGCGCCACCATCTTGCTCGGTTGGGGTGCGCTTGGACGCGTCATAATGCGATTACGAATTTTTGCTAATGCGTCGAAATCGGATTACGGCCGCGCCCAAGCGCACCCCAATGGAGCAAGATGGCGGCGCCCTGAGGCCGGACTTGCAAACGTGTATGCAGGTTTACAAGGGCGCCGCAATCTTGCTCATTTCGGGTGGGCTTGGGCGCGGCCGTAGTCCGATTATGAAAGCCAATCGGTTTATGACGCGTGCAAGCGCATCCCAGGCGAGCAAGATGGCTGCGCCATGTGGCCGTACTTCGAAATCTGTATACTTTTTACCGGCACTTCACCAACCGCCAGGATCGCGACATCCGACAACATATGACACGCCATCTTCTGTGACGTCATTTGCTGCCAGCTTGGGACCTTTGATGTACTAGCGAGATAGGTCGCTAAACTATGATGCCTGGAACGCGTCTCCGATTGGCGTGTTTACCGGGTCCAAAAAAGTGGTCCCTCGATTTCCGCCTGATGACGTCATAGAAGTGTCATGCTGTCGCCGATCGCGATCCTGGCGGCGTCCCAACAGCTGTGGTGTATGTAGCAGACGCCTGTTTTTCTGCACGTCGCTTTCCCCTGTGCCAGTCGACGGAAGATAAGGCAGCCGGAAGTTGGGACGCCGTGACGACAGCGACACTCGCGTTCGCTCGTGCTTTTCGCCAGCATTTCTACGGTCAGCCGTCAGGATCGCGACAGGCAACAGCATGACAGTCCGGCCAGTCCGGCTTCTGTGACGTCATTTGTTGCTACTTGGGGACCACTTTTGATTAGGGATGCCGCGAACTTTTTTCGATTCGAAGTTTCGATTTTCGAATCAATCGGTTCGAAAGGTTCGAAAGATTTCGAACTTTCCATATTGAGAAATTCGACGGCAGTCGAATTTTCGAACTTGTTAAACTAAGAAGTTCGACGCTTTTCGAAATTTCGAACTTATTACGCTGCAAAATTTGATGCTTGTCGAACTTTCGACCTTGATAGACTAAAAAATCGATGATTTTCCAACTTTCGATTTCTTACACTAAAAAGTTCGAAGCTTTTCGAACTTTCAAACTTCCTACGCTGAGAAATTCGATAATTTTCGAACTTTCGAACTTATTAATCTAAAGAAATCGAAAATTGTCGAACTTTCGATTCCTGAAAAGTCAAAAGTCGACGAACTTCGAATTTTTAAGGTAAAAGTTCGAAGTTCAATAAATTTCGAAAGACGGGCGGGCGGTTGGTTTCATTTGGATTTAAGCAGTGAGGTACATTCGTAATTTTTTTTCTCGCATTTTTATATGTGGTGTCGCATTCTTTGCGAAAGACAATGCCGTTCATTTCAATCATCGGACATGCTTGGTTTTAAAGAAATAGATTCCCGAAGGAGCGAGGAAGGACGACGGGTTTTTGACAATTGTCGTTTTTGCCATATTTGAAGCGCGCTATAGCCGAAGATATTTATGGTAGAAATGTTAAACTTTTTAAGAATGATCAATGTATAACCTAGGTAAGTGTCATCTTAAGATATGATTATTGTTGTTCAAGACGAGTTTCGAAGAAATATCCAAATATGTATCTACAGGCAATTATGCCCCAAACTTGGTAATTTCTTTTTTGTCGAAATTGTTTGAGTTGTAGCATTTAAATTAACACCACAGACAGTACATATCATTACTATCTGCAAAATGCAAATTAATGTATATATTGTTCTTCTCACGTTGAGGAATAAATTAACTCAGGGAAGAAGATTTCTAATATTGTTCAAATTCAAATATATTTTTTTTTTTCATTTCACTTTTTTGGGACGTGTTTCTTTTAGCCTGTACACATTTTGGTAGGAGAAACTTGTGTCGTAGTTCTGGGCCTCTGAATATGCAACAATACCACACTTCCGGCGGATTCTTGATAGTTTTTTTTTCTCCAGCTTTTCATTTTTTGCATTTATTGTTATGTTTATTTATTTATTATTTTTTACCAATGGCACAATTATTTAGGTCGAAAAGACATAGCTTTGAAGTTCCGAACCACTAAGCATGTGACGAGTAGTGCCTTCTGACAACGAGTTTCTAAAAATGACCATCTACGCGATCTTTTATGCAGTGAAACCGTTCCATTAGGGTCACAGCAGAGAGGATAAAAAGAGAAAAAAATGCCCTCCCCCTCACACCCGGTGTCGTCTGCTCCGCCGAGTGGGCAGTACCTAGCATCCGGCCGGCGTACAAACTCTGTTTAAAATCGCGTCATTTTGGAAATTTCAAGCGCAGATGCGCAGATTTTGGTATGCCAGTTATCGTGTATTACTATGCCAGATAAAAATACTAACAGAGTCCAATTGCGCTGTTATCTGCGTGCAAATAAAAAAAAAAAAAAAAAAAAAAAAACAGGGAAAATTCTGTCAGACTGGCCGATTTCTCCGGCGAAAAGTGAATGCGGTGGCTGTACCTTTTTTACTATACAGAGTTCGTACTGGTGTAGGCCTTTAGCGACCAGGAGTGGATGTCTAAAATAATAAATAAAAACGTGCTCTCCTGCCGCAATACACCAATACACGCAGTAGTTGAGGGTATACTGCCGGCTGACTCAACTGCTATTAAGTAACGGAAAAAAAGATATGCCAGTTGATAATTTACCGAAGTAGAACAACAGAGAGCTCTAGGCTGATTTTGGAGTAGCCATAGCTATTCTAAGAACGCGAACCACTTCACAACGGCAGCCACGAGCGAGAGTTCGATGTTCCGTACAGCCCACCGATACAGCCCAAAGATGGAGATTGGCAACCTCCCGTTTTGTCGTCTGCTAGCGGAGTCGGGCGCGTGCCCTCTCTCTCGTTTTACCCCGCCGAACCCGCTGAATTTCCCGGATGTATGGAGAGGGCGCTGCTGTCGAACAATATGGTGCCGCCCAGAGAGCGCTAAATGGAATGGTCTGTACATATGCATAAATAATTTCATATTAAAATAAGCTCGACCATGCCCACTTTCCCCGCATTGTTTCCTTTAACAGTCCGAAATAACTTGGGGGGGGGGGGGGGGGGGGGGAGAGTGCAGCCTTCCCCCCTTCCCCCCGTTTTTCCTCTTCCGACGCTGCTGGTATGGTAGAACGCTCCTCGACCTCAAGTTGTGTCGGCTTCTGTGCTTTTTGCTCGGCGTTTCTTCCGTCTCCGAAAATAAATCTCCAAACCAATACAAACTAAAAAATTGACAAGGTGCAGGCGAGCTGGTGTACGTTGATCATGATGCAAAATCCCGAGACTGGAAATGAAATTTGAAACAAATAGTGTAAGAAGAACGAAAAAAGGGGACAGGACAACATCTCAAACTCAGTTGAGTTGAGTTTGAGACGTTATTCCTGAGCTGAGTTTTCACCTGAGTTGAGTTTGAGACGTTGTCCTGTCCCCTTTTTTCTGTCTTCTTACACTTTTTCTTTCAAATTTCATTCCCAGTCTCAGGATTTTGCATCATGTACAAACTAAACTTACTATATGCCAGCGTCACTCGGGCGGCGTTCGAGCGGATTACTACCAGCGTACAAGGGGGTAGGGAGGCAGTTTGCCAGATCGCTTCAAGGTTTTTCTGAGCATCAAGTGACCCTCAACCACCTGCCTGCCCCTGCCCGTTTCGAACTGGATGAGTATCGTTAAACAGTGCGTTCGTGTGATCACTACTGCGTGATGCACATGAAAGACACCCCCCCCCCCCCCCCTCCCCCCGGGCTGGCGGCCACAATTACTGATCTGCACACGTCACTCTGCACTGGCAAATAATCTAGCACATGCGGGACACTCGTCGTCTCATTTAATTGCCTGACCAACTTCGCGCAATCTGAATATCACACCCGAACATTTCTAAACCTGATTTCGTGAAAACCAGTGAGGCGTGAAAACGTTATTTGAAACTGAAACTGTGGCGGAACATGAAAACCGGACTTCGAACTTTGCGCACATGGACTTTAAAGAAATTCGAAACCTAATAGCGAGTTCGTTTCACACGCACTGGCACCGTTCGAGTTCTCTCCCAGAATGCATCGCACTCGCAGAGTGTTGCACGGAAAACTGGACTCAAACGAACTCGCCAAATGCACCGAGTGCAGAAGACTGATGCTGCCGCCATCTATGTTGTAGAAAAGGTACCGACTTCAAACCGAAACTAGCGCCTTTCTGTTCGGAGTGATGCGTGGGAATGCGAGAATGCAGTCGCTAACAACGTTTATCTACAAACATTGGTCGCTGCAACCTGTAGTTTATAGTTGCGATGACTTCAAGCAGCTAGGCTGCCGTAGAGATAATTACAGACTGCGTAAATTTCTGCAACCAGCTGTCTACAAAGCAAGTGGTTGCGATCTTTCAATTCTTATAACCGTTTACACTGAAGAAAACTGATGATGCCGTCCGAGCAGAAGCTTGATCCGTTTGAGCATGGTATTATGCGTGAACCACTGAAAGGGTACGGCTTAAAACTAGCCTGTTGGAATATCCAGCAAAACTGGGACTTTCGATTAGGATTGTCATTATAGGTGGATTAGATATTAGCCTTGGTGAGGGCGTCGAGAACGAGAGCTTTCTCGAACAAAATACGACGGGGCAAGTTAGCTGACGTAGGTAAATGTTAAACATGATGATGTTGCCCAATCCTCGGGTAAAGTCTCCATCTTTAGCTTTCTCTGATGCTTATTGGGCAGTCAGAGGTTTCTGCTGGGGGAGTTTTGTCGACAAATGTTAAATTTTTCACCCGCACACGGATGGTGATAGACATCTCGGGGGCCGCTGTTGCGTTTGTTCTGAGCATTTCTTTACACACTGGTGTATTTCAGCATTTGTACGGCAACAGAGCTATTTAAAACCTGCAAATAAATCACGGGTTGTCAATTGCTTCCTTCGTGAAATAGCAGACGCTCACAATTCAAGCTCGCGTTTGATTTCGTTGCCCGCGGGACGCGATTTCTATCAGAAAATCTACTCTTTTTTTCCGTTCGGTTCCGGGACACATCGAAGCAGACGAACCCTCGTCGTCTGCTCCCGCTCCTCGCCGGCCCCACCGCCCCACCGGAGCGAGGCATGACGGGATTGCATTTTGGCGCACTCCCGATTTTCTCGGTGCAGCGAGTGCATGCACGCGTGCGGTGTCAGCGCTGAAACGAACTCGGAGAGTGCAACCACTCGTGGAGTGCCGGCCGAAACGAACCCGTTCCACGCTGCGAGTGGGCACGCGTGGGCACGAGTGCCGTGAAACGAACTCGCTATAAGTTTCTTTTTCTAATTTAGCGCTAAAGGAGAATCGAAACCTTTGAACTTTTCGACCTTCATGTAGAAAGAAATTCGAAATCTTCGAATTTATCGAACTTTATGTCTATAAAGGTTCGAAACGTTCAAATTTTTCGAATTTCAGACTTAAAGGAATTTGAAACATTCGAATCCATCAAATTTCAATTTAGGAAAGGTCGAAATCTTCGATTTCTCGAACCTCAAGTAAAAAAATATTCGAAATAATCGAACCCGAACTTTAAGAAACCGTGAAAGCTTCAAACTTTTCGAATTCGAAACTTCACGATTTTTGAAAGTTGCGAATTTTTCTAATTCGAATCTCCGTACGGTCGAAAAATATCGAAGCCTTTCGAATTCGAACCGAGGGTGGTTCGCGGCATCCCTACTTTTGACGTATGGGCGGGATAGGACGCTAAACACACCAGTCGGAGACGCGGTCCAGGCACCATAGGTAAACACACCAGTCAAAAACGCCTTTGGGGCACCGTACAGACGATGGAGGATGCGCAGGTGAGCGAGTGAGAGCAGGCGATCAACTGTGTGTTACCCTTTCTGTGTGTCTCCGCCTTCTGTACCACGCGTTTGATGTTTTCCGGGGGCAAAGAGGAACGTGCATGACTTCGCTCGCGGTCTTTGGGGATCTTTCGAAAGCGTCTGTTGGTTGGCACGGTTCATACGAAGCACAATATCCCCGTGACTCGCGATTGTATAGACCTTTTCCGCTTACTCTCGCCCCCGACCGCCAAGAAGGCATATCCGGTATGGGCGACGAAAAAATAATAAAACGTTTTAATCTGCAAATAGTAAAAAAATAGAGGGGAGACAAAACGAGAATTCGTGACGGTTACGCTTATCTCCTAAATGCATTCTACTGACGTGGCGACGGCAAAACGATGTTTTCGCCCATACTGGAAGTGACGACATTTCAAAATGGCGGCACCCTTGTGAAAAAGGTCTATAGCTCGACCCGCAACGCGAGGAAAGTACTGTGTGAACGGGCCTTGAGACGTTCAAGGTCATTTCCTCTTGATGAGCAAGCGACGGTTCAAAATGTCTTACTCAGTTGAACTACGAAAAACTAAACCCGAAGAAAAGCGACGTTTTCAATCCATGTTGTCACATCATGATATTTTGCGCAAATTATAAATGATCAAATACTGGAAGCCCGACGGCATGCAGTCGTCTTGAAATGAGCCGTTTTTTTTTATTGCTCAAGAACAAACGAAAATGCGCAAATCACGCATCTGTCTCTTCGTCAATATCATTGCTCTAATGTACAGGTGTCCGCGTCAGGATGAAATCGCAAACATTAATAAATTATTCAACAATAGAGGACGCGCGCGAGGAATTCGCTCGTACAAACATATGTCCACTACTTTATCACATCAAAAATACAGCGCGGCCCCAAAAAGCGATTGCATAATAATTTTCTCACCGCGCAAAAAAAGAAAAAAAAAACATTGCTAAAGATTTAGTTTTTATCCAAATGTAGCGCTAGCGGTCCGATCCAGATGCCAAAGTTTCAGCACTAACCATTTTCGTATTCAAAAGTTTTAAGTCATTCTCTGAAAATTTTAATGTTGGGACGATTTTCGATAACGAGCCATTCAGCTCCATGTATTTGATGACAGATTCATCAAATACATGGAGCTGAATGGCTCGTTATCGAAAATCGTCCCAACATTAAAATTTTCAGAAAATGACTTAAAACTTTTGAATACGAAAATGGTTAAACTGCCATTCCCACTGAATTTTTCAGAAAATCGCTTACATCTTTTGAATAAGATAACGGTTATTTCTGAAAATTTGGCATCGGGTTGGAATAGCTATAGCGCTACATTTGGGCGGAGAATAAGCGTTCAGCAATGCGTACTTAAATTTTGCACAAAAAGAATACTTTTTTTTGTACGATTTGCGGGATAAGCAAATCAATACGTGATGTCCATTTACCCGACTTCAAAGTAAAAAAATAAAATCATCATGCAGCTTACGCGCGATCGCGGCTGTGCGAGAACAAGTTATTGGGGTCAGCTGAATAATCATGACTGAATAGGAAGGTCAGAAAGGGACGAAGACCGGCTGCCTCTACCCATTAACTCGGCATGAACCAACGAGCTCAACTAGAGCCCTTAGCGAGAAAATACTTACGTCGTACGTCCTCTGAAATTCGTGTGGCGAGATCTTCAGGTTGGACAAGGCGCAGTAGAACGTTGATCCAGCTTTGTAGGGCACCACCTGCAGCCAGTACCGCTCAATTTATTCGAAAAGCAGGACGAGTGCATTCGAACGCGTTGGACGAGTACAGTGGAGACAAAGGCAGCTAGCTTTAGGTCTACCTACTAATCACTCGAACCCGGGTTGGCCTGCCAGGAACAGCGTTTCAGCTGATACTGGGTGAAAGAAAGCATTGCCAAAGCCAGCGCACGAGCTGAGCAATAGCCTCCCATATACTCACAAAGCCTGGCAGATCGCCACGAGAAGCGGCCGCTGAAATGAAAAAGGTGGACCAGCAGACAACGAATGAGGAGAGCCACATGACTGGCGCCCCGCTGCGGCGAGACGCCGAAACAAACTTCTCCCGAGCGAACAAGTGTGTTTCGAGTCCTCGCCGCTGCAAAAGCTGTGCGCTGACGTCCAGGTTCCCCTAAGTTCCCGAGAAATGGCTCTTCGATCCTCCAAGCTATACTTCGTTTCAGCTTCGGTCCAGACGCAGCCGATGCTACAAGCGCGAGCATGTGGCCCTGAACAGTGCTTGCACTGCACGAGCGCGCGTGCTTGGCAGAGATGCTGAAAGCCCGGTGCTCGCGCTTGTAGCTTTGGCTGCGTCTGGACCGAAGCTGAAACGAAGTATACCAGATCCTCGCGCTCCAAATCTGCGACAGGGCAATCCATGGCTCCGTCGTCGAACTGCCAGGCTTTGTGAGTATAGAGGAGGCTATGGCTGAACGGACTCGAACCGCGTCTGAAGATGTTCGCGCGCCCAGCCTCTGCAGTGCTTTCTTTCGCCCAGCCTCAGCTGTTATAACCGACAACACGCAAAGAAACAAAAATTCACGCGACCTCCATCAAGAGAATTGCGTGACACAGAGAAATGACGTGACTGGAATATCGCGTGACCCCCCGGTTGATGCTGCGCAAATAGCGACTCCCCTTTTCAGGGGTGGAATGGGGCACAGAGGGCGCAGCCATGCCGCCACAAAGTCACGCGACATGTAGCGCGTGACACATGTTGTCACTGCTTGTTTTAGTTGCTTTTGCATCGTGACATGTATCACGTGACACATGACGTCACTGCTTAGTCGCCCGGCGGCTGAACCAAACAGCGGTGCTTCGAAAGTGGCGTGAGGTGCTCCTCGCGTTTATTTACATCTGACACGCCGAACTTCTATGGGAGAACCGACAACAGAGTCCAAAAGGTAACCCCAATTTATTATTGCAAAAGCATTAATAAATGGTTCCCATTAATAAATAACTGTCCAATAGAGCGAACCGACGTTATCAGCCTTGAAGCCGCGCCGAACGGCCCCTTCCTCTGTCCCAATGTCGTCGGTAGCAGAAATCTGATGGATAGGCTCTCATTGGCTGGCGCGCGCGTCATCAAGGAACGAGGCTCCTATTGGCTCTCGTGCGGCGTAGTTCCAAAAAACGCCACCAGAGAAGCCCTCTTCATGGCGGCGCAGCGCACGCAGCGGCCCTAAAGTCCCTCGATGTTTTTTCACTGCGTTTTACAAGTACCGTCATTCTTTGCCGCGCCGACATCTGTTTCTATTGGAGGAGAGCGATGTCACGTGATTTCCAGAATTGTCGCCACTTCCGTCCGCCATTTGCTTCCAAGCTGCTCGGCTGGCTCGGCTGCTCCGTCCGCTCGCGTGTTTCGTGATACTCGCCGACGACTTTAACCCGACGTCCTGGTGTTTCTCGACCGTAATGAGGCAACTCAAGTAGGAAGCGTTTGTGTTAGATGACGGGGTGTTGCGCTTTTGGGTGCCGCCAGAGTTCTGGTAGTGGAAAAAAGTTGTTCGCCGTTCCGCTTCGGAAAGCCGATCTGAAGAGGCAGAAGGCATGGCTCCACATGATTGGGAGGAAAAACTTTGTCCCTACCAGAAGCAGCAAGCTTTGTGAGGTGAGCGTTTCTAAGCTAGTTACCTCTTCCACACACGTTCACATAGGTACACATGCAATGCTTTTCCTGACGCGCCTGACTGCCGAACTCGGTCTCAGCTGAAATGCGGCATCGGTGCTCTGCCGTTTTAGCCCGTTGTTTTTCACTCGAAAACCCGGTTGTTCGCCGGCAAAGTTTTTCGCGTAGTCTGAGTTTTTAAGGGACAGGATATGAATGGATGAAGCCGCCAATTGGCCGCTTCAGCTGTGAGTGTCTCGCAGTGAACCTCTACGAAACACGAAAAGCTACTACCGAGGACAATATGAGCCGAAAACGCCTTTCATGCTTCTTTGGCTTACCACCTGTTTTTGAGAGAGCTGTGGTCCGAACTAGGAGTAGGAAGCGAAGTTGAGGAATAATGGAGCTTGTGGGAGTAGAACACTTGTCTTTTGAGATATATATATAATCGCACGACAAGAGCTGAAATAAACAAAAATGTCTGCACAATGCATATGCTTCCTGTTGTGTTGTCCTTCCTTACCCCCAGTCTCGGGGGTTTTGTCTAAAAAAATATCTACGTGGATGTTACAGTGGAAGCTTGGCAGAAAAAAGACAGAGACATTAAACACGTTCATAACGAATTCCTTGAACGCGATCTAATAAAATCGGTCTTGGATTCACCGTTTAATGCGGCAAAATAATAAAAGTTGTACGCAACATTTCTTCACTGCACGCTGAAGGTATGCTATCCAGCAATCAAAAGCAGCGAAAGTTGCCAGCTAGAATCCTTCACAGAGTTATTTGAGACCAAACACGGCTCCGCAGTAGAGGTTCGAGGACGAGATTGCCCGTTATCGCATGTGGGAATAACACGTGCGATGGTGTAACTTCACCCGAAATATTGTTTGGGACTGGTGAGTTAAGTGCTGTAAATTCATCCGCACGGATCTCGCATCGTCCAAACTTGTCAAGGTCACTACTTCGCACGACGCTTGCTTTCCATCTAAACACTGCTACTAGTACTTATAACAAAATGCATGTTTAAGTCATGTAGATACACCCCAAAAAAATGAGTTCCAGACGTGTTTGCGTCTACACCGTGCACACGTTTGCGTATCATTACCAACGCTCGCCACGAGGGAGAATGGTTGCAAACAAAATAGAGTTCTCACAATAGCTTAACCATGCGGCTCTATCGACGACGGAACAAAATTTTCACAAGGCATTTGTCTTTATTACAAATATAAATAGTTTATTGTAACGCAGGCGCGCACATATCTAACATCGACGGGAGCGTTGCTCGCGAAAGCTCTCGCTGCAGTATGATAGGGATTGCGGCAAAATATTGATATATATATACGTGCTTTTGCGGAAATAACAGCTTACCTTCGATTCACGTAAGTAACCCGATGATATCCAAATTAATTTCACGCGCTGGAAATTACCAAAACAAAGAAGACTACGCTACTGCTAACCACATAACAACACAGCGGAACCGCCCTCCCGTCTGACGTTAGGAAGCGAATGGCGGCGCTAGAGAGGGAGAGGAGAAAATTTTTGGGGGAAAGAGGAATCGTAGATGGAAAGGAGGAAAGTTGTCGCTACCTGTAGAAACGAAAAATATCCAGGGACGTCAAGCGGCCCGGTTGCCGGTAAAAGGTACGGCGGTGCGTCGATGAGCGCCTGGCCGCAGAGCCCAGCCCGGGCAAATTCCGGAGAGGGTGCACGGCCCAGCGCGGCGCGGCCACTTCACGAGAGCGCGCGCTCGGCCGTCGGCCGGCGAAACGTGGCCGTCCACGCAGTGGCGTCACAAGGGGGGGGGGGGGGGGGGGGGCGGACCGCCCCGGGTGCAGCGCTCAGGGGGGTGTCGCGGCGTGCCACGAAAGCACGAATGCGGGGGGGGGGGGGGGGGGGGGGGTGTCGCGGTGGGCTACCGCCCCGGGTGCCGCAGACCCTCGTGACGCCGCTGAAGAACGAAATTCCTGCTTTCGCATTCACTACTCATATGAAGTGCTTAGATGTCCTCGGGCTTGTTTTTTTTATTTGCGTAGTAGTACAAATATTATGAAAAGCCCTTTATTACTTTTCAACATAGTCACCTCCCCGCTCAACGCATGTGCTCCAACGCTTTATCAATGCATAAATGACGCCGGAAAAAAAATCTTGTGGCTGACTCCGGAGCAAGGAATGCACCGCCGCTTTCAGGTCATCATCTGTATCAAACTTCCTTCCTCCGAGAGCCCCTTTAGGATTCCAAATAGAAAAAATTCGCTCGGTACGAGGTCTGGCGAGTATGGTGGGTGCGGAATACACTCGAACCGCAGACCTTTAATTTTTTTTTTTTTTTGCTGTCATACATGGCGTGTGAGGGCGCGCGTTGTCGTGGTGCAGCAACACCCCTGAGCGGAACAATCCGCGACGCTTTAACCTGATTGTAGGCTTCAAGTGGTACCCAAGCAGTTTGCAGTATGATGCACTGTTCACAGTGAGTTCCTTGGGCATTTAATGCTCAACAATTGTGTAAATGGATGAATGATTTGAAAATAAAAAATCGGAATTTGAATTATTGGGCCTTTAAGGTCCCAAAAGACCATTTAAGGCCCGTTCACACACTTGCGTTCGGAGCGACCATTACGCTTACGAAGGAATGCAACCGGTTGGAACGACGAATTGCCATAGCAGCGAAGCCAACGAAGCACCAAACGGCCGTTTTGTTCGTGTTCGTTTGCAACGCAAGTTGAGTCGGGCTGAACGTTTTCGCTACGTTCGGGAACGACGGGAGCGACCGCACCGACAGACCAATCACAAGTCGGGGAGAGCTCGGCCGCGCGTGTTGCATGCAGGTCGCGGTTCCTGCTAACATGGCGTCGGCGGTAATCGTCGGCGTGGTAGAAGCTCGTCTCTCCGCGTAGAGCGCTTTCCTTGATTGTGAATTCTCGTCCTGTGTCGGGATCCACCGTTGGTGCTGTCTTCAACATTGTGTCGCTGTGTGTCGCCACTCTATGCTCGCTCGCTTTGTCTCTGGCTGGGCATAGTGTAGCCAGCATTCATCACCGGTGACAATGTGTCGAGGAAAATCACTTTCCTCGGCTTCGCAGCGTCGCATAGCGTCTCGCAAGCATCCACACACCTCTTCTTAAGGTCCGGCGTAAGTTGTTTTGGTATTCCCCTGGCGGATACCTTGGGGTATTACAGAATATCATGAATCATATGGTGCGTCGAGCCGTGAATAATACCAAATTCTTCAGCCACTTCCTCGAAGTTAAACGCCGGTTTCAATGTATAAGCCGTTCCACAGCAGAGATTGAGTCCGGCGTCTTTGAAGTGCGAGCCCGACCGGGGCGAGGTGTGTCCGTCAAACTGGACGCTCCACTTTGAAACTTTTTGTGCCACTCGTACACCTGCCGAAGCGATTCACAGGCGTTTCCGTACTGCTTCAGAATCCTGCGATGAATATCCGCAAGTTTTTCGCCCTTGCGCCCAAAAATCGGATAACCGAACGCTGCTCCGCCTTGGTGCATGCCGTGGTGCATGCTAACAAGGGGCGGCCATTTCGAAAGTGCTGCTGTGGTCATGTGACATTTCCCATCAAGTCACCAGGCCGGCGTGCACAGCTCCCTTTTGCGGTAGGTCAAAACACATCTCCCATCGGAGAGACGCGTTCCTGTTATAGTCGGATGCAACCTGAAAACAATCTTTTAGCTCCACCCACAAGCGCATTGCGCCCATCTGAAGTGCCTCCGCCGTCGAGAAAGTAGTTCGCTAGCAACGTTGCCTTTTCTTCCTCCAGGAAACGTGTCTTAAACTACTACATTATTTATTTAATTCATTCAGGACATTTAAATAAGTTAGAATACGCTTTTGTCAACGAAATAGCTGTTTAGTAAAGAAAGAAAGTCATGTCCAATGTACCGTCTTCCCAATTCATTTTCTGTCCAAGATACTGTCTAACATACCGTCTTCCAGCGCCTTCGATCTGCTTCGATTGAGGGAAAGCCGCTGGGGAAAGCGAAGCACCACGATGTACCAACTGGCCCATCTAAGCATTTTATTGCACTTATAGTTCCTGCAAATAATAAATATTTAGTGATTTACTTAGTTTTTTGGGCTTTGCGCACGAAATGTGTGCCTTTATTTTGTTGGATGAATAGAAAACAAGAATAATTATACTTTTCGGGTTTTGACAAATCGGCACCCTCCCAAGTCATCGACACCACCACCGCGCCCCGTTCTCCTTGTCTTCCGTCATGGATCCCACTGAGGTGACATCGGAAAGCGATTCCTCTGATTCTTGTTGGACGAAACAGCCTGGTGCAGCCTTACCGACGACACCAAAGCGGTTCTTAAAGAAGCACAATCCGACGAAGCAGACGACGTCCGGCGTAGCTTCTCACCTCTCAGCAGTGCTAAGCCTCGCGCCCGCTTCGAAATTTTCGTTGGCGATAGCGTCGCTGGATTCTCACGTTGTCGCGCAAAAACTGCTGCAAACGCAAGCCGATACCATTAAGATTTCGTGGCGTAACCTCGGGCACGTAAAACACGGTGCAAAAAAGCAGAATAATTGTCACGAGAAACTAGCGTCGCGTTGCTAAGGCCAGCAGCCATGTTGAGCTTTTTTTTTTTTCAAAAGTATTGCGATTGGTCCACAGAATCGTGACGTCAAGAAAACGATTGGCTGGCGTTTCTCGGCGTAGGATTACATTTTCCTCTGAGAGGCATTTCCGGTTTTTTCTTAGCTTGCAACCGACTATAGACGATTCTTTGATGACAATTGTAGCAGCGCCGATGAAACCATCTGTCAATTAAATGCCTTTCCTAGAGTAGTCAAAGTAAACGTATTTTTCAATCATTTCATCTCACATTTAGGCAAGGAACAGAGTCGGCGACGGGCAGTACGTTACTTGTCTCAAACGTCAGTCACTCTTTACGGAGTAGTGGATAGTGGACTTCGGCAAGAGGGCAGTGATTTTGGGAAACCTGCAAAAAAACTACCGTTGTTGCTTTTGCGTACGCCGAAACTACTACGGTACGGCGTAGGCAATAATGAATGCCGCAGTGTGTCTGTCGGAGTAGTCGGATCATCGTCCTACACTGGCTCATACAATCCGGGCTGTCCTGTCTTGCCATGAGCGGCCGACAAAACTTAACTAAGCAAGGCTTATCCAATGAAGCGCGGCGAGTGTGCCGTGATTTTACATTTTTAGTTTCTGTGTAAGCGCTTGTTTGCCATCTATGTTTTGACTGCGCTAGGACCTAAAGTTAAACGAAGTGTAGAGTCACTTCCCGTGTATGTACCTTATCGGCATCGGCGTCCCTCTGGATGTCCGGCAGCCTCGCCAGGTTTGTCATGTTGCAGAGCTCTTCGAGCGCCGAGGGCGACGTGCTGATGTCGGCTTCGGGCCTGTTCTCCTCGATGTGCGCCAGCAAGCACTCACGAAGCGTGCTGTACATGTTCTGCAGACAGCGAAAACGAAGACAGGCTTTCAGAAAATGTGGTGGTGCCAATTGTTGAGTATCGATGCTCCCTTGAGCGCAGGTTCAGGCAGCGTTGGACATAGGCCAATAAGTAATTGGGTTCGGTCTGTTTAGGCGGCGGGAATTTAGCCCCAAAGGGTGTCCGGTGTTTCCGCTGTATAGATGAGAAATTTTGACGGCGCAGCACCACTGATAGATTGCTCTACAACGTGCATCACGCAGTAGCGATATACGGCTGCGTGCCGGTTACGATGCTTATTGGGGAATCGTAGTGGACCGTTTCCGTAGCCCACTAAGCACCCGGATAGCGCTCCGTAATCCGCCACAAGACCTTGAACTATGCAGATAAGGCTGGCGGCGTGCATGCGCAGCTGCTGCGTTTTCTTCGCGGATACCGTAGCGGAGGAGAAAAACGGTCTACTACAATTCCCTATTCAGATCAAAACGGGAAACGGGATCCTATGGGTTTTGCAGGGCATGCGAGCTTTTGCTCCTTGTGCTCCGAGCTGCGGTGCGCTAACAAAATCGGCCACCAACTATACAAAAAGTAGTTTACAACGCACTCTTTTCTTTCATCCGATCTGCCGGCATACCACTCCGTTAAACTCTCGCTTAATCTCCTCCCCACTGACCCGACGGGACATCCACAAGGCCAGAGGTCTCGATATTAATAAAACAAACGTTTCCACCACATCCGATTCACCGACAGTGTGCATGCATGGAGATAAAATTTAGGCAGTTTTGAGCATACCTCGGCAAACCTCACTCATGAGGGCCCTCACTCACCCTCATTCACCCTCATCTTCACAGGTGAGGTGAGGGTGAGTGAGTTTCTGAACCAGGAAAATTCATGAGTGAGGGTGAGTGAGGGCCGTGAGGGCCGTGAGGGCCGTGAGGGCTGTGAGGGCGGTGAGTGCGGTGAGGGCCGTGAGGGCCGTGAGGGCGGTGAGGGCCGTGAGGGCGGTGAGGACCGTGAGGGCCATGAGGGCGGTGAGGGCGGTGAGGGCGGTAAGGGGTATGAGGGCCATGAGTGCGTGAGGGGCGTGAGGGCGGTGAGTGGCGTGAGGGCCATGAGTGCGTGAGTGGTGTGCACACCACTCACGCACTCATGGCACTCATGGCCTCACACCCCTCACGCCACTCACCGCCCTCATGAGGGCGGTGAGTGGCGTGAGGGGTGTGAGGGCCATGAGTGCGTGAGGGCAGTGAGTGGCATGAGAGGCGTGAGGGCCGTGAGGGCGGTGAGTGCATGAGGTGGTGTGAGGGCCATGAGTGCGGGAGAACGGTGAGTGCGTGAGGTCCCCTTCAGATCGAGCATCTTTCACAGCAATTTTGGTGTTAATGGCGGGTTGTTCTCTAGCTTTCCCTAGATCGACACGAATTGCTGAGATCGGGTTCAGCTCGAAATAAGCAAGCAACTCGGGGCAATTCGAATACGTTTGAAGCGGCTGCATCCAATCAGGGGCGCAAAATTTTCACGTGATACCTCGTGCCGGTGATGATGACACCGGACGACTTGGTTCTGGTTTGAAATCGATCGTTTTTTGGAAATAAACTGCTTCAGAAAGGTGCATTAGTATTCTTAACGAGATTTAAATGCATAAAAACACGTTTATAACGCGTAATTGTGTCTAAATAGTGCAAAAACAAAAATAAAATTTATGATGACGATGGCAAATTGCAGCAATTGGTTGCTGCGTGTGATCGCGGGCGGCCCGTGTTGCTGGTGTTGCGACGTAAAGTTTCTGGGCGAAATTGCTTCATCTGAAGCAAGCCTGAGTGGCGTGAGGACCATCAGTGCGTGAGGGGCGTGAGGGGTGTGAGGGCCGCAAGGGCGGTGAGGAGCGTGAGGGCGGTGAGGGGCGTGAGGGCGGTGAGGGTCGTGAGGGCGGTGAGGGTCGTGAGGGCGGTGAGGGGCGTGAGGGCGGTGAGTGGCGTGAGGGCTATGAGTGCGTGAGGGCCGTGAGGGCGGTGAGGGCCGTGAGGGCCGTGAGGGCGGTGAGTAGCGTGAGGGCGGTGAGTGGCGTGAGGGCCGTGAGGTTCAGCGAGGGTGAGTGAAGGGCTGAAGGTGAGTGTGACTGAGGACGAGGGTGAGTGAGGGGCTGAAGGTGAGTGTAGCTGTGAGGGTGAGGGTGAGTGAGGGGCTTAGGTGAGTGTGGCTGTGAGGGTGAGTGAGGGCGACCTAAAATGCCGACCTCTGGTTTTGAGACTCGCCGATTACGAGGAGCAATCGCTTATAGACGTTTTCTGTTTCCAGTCGTTCTCAGTCACGTGGTATCTGGTATCCGGGCGAAAAGATGATAAAACATTTCAACCTGGAGTATGCGAGAAAATATACGTGAGGCAAAACAAGAATGTGTGACAATAACGCATTTTTTCGCGAACATCTTTCAGCGGCGTGGATACGATGTGTTACCGCGTACCGAAAGTGACGCCATTCAAGATGGCTGCGCCCTTGTAGAAGAGGCGTATAAAATGTGACTTCTTATTGTTTCGCAATGAAGAAACTTGCTGGACCCAATGGACAAAAGAAAGAGAGAGCCACCGCTTCAGCTCCAACACGGAACGCGGCACCCCCTTCACCGCGCCCTTTCCTCAAATAAATATGTTGGGAAGTTCATTGGATCTCTAATCTCTTCATGGCTCGTTGATTCAAGGTATCTGCAGTTCTTTGTGGGGCCTCTTCGCTCGACGTAACACGAATATTTGCAAAGTGATTATACAGTCGATGCGCATCGTTTGAAATTTTCCAGAACAATGCTTTTTTGGTTTAAATAGAAAAACATTTTCTCGCTCGCTGCAAATCTTCAAGATATATTGTCCTCACGGTGTGCCGCTCCCGGAGGAGTCATGGTCACAACAACAAACCGGTTACACCGGTGGTTCGTGATTGCAGCTTTCCTATACACTGCCTCAGAATAATCGCTCACGATAAGAATATCGCTTTTAACAATTCTTTTTTTTTTTCGATTTCTGGGGTTTATTAGAACACAAGTGCTGATTGTTGGGCAAGTTGGTATGGTACGTTAGAAAACATGATTGCGCTTTGAAGACGGGGACATAGAAAGGACAGACAGCACAGAGCGCTAACTTTCAACTGATTTAATTCAAGAACCTCAACGTAGAAACACACTGCGTCACCGCACCACATCTCAACCAATTCGTGGTCCTGCCACGGACCGCAAGTACGCCAACTCCTTATCCGCCAAGTCAATTGACGCCACACTGACACAACACATGCCGGAACTATTTATTGCTATAAATAGTTCCGGCACGTGTGGTGTCAGTGTGGCGTCAATTGCCGGAACTATTTATTGCTATAAATAGTTCCGGCACGTGTTGTGTCGGTGTGGCGTCAATTGACTTGGCGGATAAGGAGATGGCGTACTTGCGGTCCGTGGCAGGGCCACGGGTTGGTTGAGATGTGGTGCGGTGACGCAGTGTGTTTCTACGCTGAGGTTCTTGAATTAAATCAGTTGAAAGTTAGCGCTCTGTGGTTTCTGTCCTTCCTATGTCCCCGTCTTCAAAGCGCAATCATGTTTTTTATTACAACACCTCTTTAGAGACCCAAGACAGCGTCTCAAACATAGCTACTGCGTTTATTTCGCACTCCTTATAGACCCACAAGATACTCTTTATCGTAAAAAGATAAGAAGAAGCATATTTTGGCATAGTTCATACACTGGGTGAATTAATTATCGCTGCGTACGTCAAAAATTGTTAATGCGACGTTTTTTTATATGTATTGTTTTAGATGCGTAAGTTTAAATGAAGTGAAAAAAAAGTGAAAGCCCTTTACAACTCCCTGTAACACCGAATTAGAGCGCAGCTCTTGAGGAGGAGTAGGGAAGGGTACTGAGGGGCGGGGGTCACGTGACCTGGGGGATGGGGGCTACGTGAACTCGGGGACGGGGGGGGGGGGGGGTCACGTGACCTCGGGAAGGGGGGTTACGTAAAAGCGGGGGGGGGGGGGGTCACGTGTCGTCGGGGGGGGGGGGGGGTCACGTGACCTCGGGGGGGGGGGCACGTGACCTGAGGGAGTCACGTGACCCCCCCTCCCCGAGGTCACCGAAGGTACCCAAGGTCCTCCCGAAGGAACCCGAGGTCCTCCCGAGGTCCTCGGGGGGGGGGGGGGTCGCGGTTACGCCGACGCCACTCAAGCCGGAAACGGGCGCCTAAAAACTGCGCTCTAAAAAAAAAAAAAAAACTGACGTTAAATGCACGTACGAATATCTTATTTTACCGTAAAAAGAGGAATATTGGTAACGTTCCGCGAGGCCCGAGAGCTTTCGGCAGAATTGATTTCACATGAGCGACGTTGCCACAGATTACCGGCTTTGTGAAGGGGAATTTGATACCGGAAGTAAATTTCCTTAGTTTTCCAACTAAGCGCTTTGAAACTGACTATTTTTGCGCTGGTAGAGCACGTTGCATTTGTCGCCGCAGTGCGCAAGCACCGGGAGTCAGCGCTTTTGTTTCCCTGGTCAAAGAATCAAATTTTAGACGTTGAGCATCGACGAAACTGGGTCCCTAGCTTGCTACTTGGCTACAAAGCTCTTTGAAACTTAAAATGATCATGGTTACAAACGATGTAAACGAGTCGCGTTTGTTATACTCCTATCCACCTCAAAAACGTCAGAAAAAAAAGGCAGTTCATTTACGGAGTATTACGGATGTCCTGTTTACGTGGTCAGTTCAGATGTAAGTAGGCATAATTTAGATTAGCTATTCGTTGTTTTATGAAAAGATGCACGCCTCAAACGCCAAAAAAGCATTGTTTCAAACCCCTATCATTTCGCGCAGCGCAAAAACAATGCGCAAAATTCGCTTTTTTTTTTTTTCTGTGCGCTTACGAGTGTATTTAGATCGTATTTCGCCATGAAATCCTCATCAGAGAATGGGCACAAATAAGACTCCCACATACTGAATATGCGGTCTGTCACTGACATTTGCGTCCTGCACTTCTAGGTGCATATCAGACTCTATCATGGTTATATCGAGACTAAAGAGCAGCGAGTCCTTGCCACCAAAGACGTTTTCCGGGTATTAGAGAGTTTTAGTAGTTATACCAGGCTGGCGGTATTACCGCTCATTCACACTGGAAGCGGATCCGCGTTCGCAAAGCGGTTGCGAACGCGCTTGTATAAAGATCCAGTACAATTGCACGCGCACTTGATGTCATCGGGTGAGCGAGCAATCGCACTGGATCTTTATACAACCGCGTTCGCAACCTCTTTGTGAACGCGGATCCGCTTCCAATGTGAATGGGCGGTTAGATTGTTTTAGTAGATCGTAATTGAGAGCTCGCGCTGCCACTTCGATGCATGCTCTGAAGCACGCGCCCGTAGCGGTAGCGGGCCTTTAAAAAACTATCTACTAAAACTGCCTAATATTTTATGTGGGTGTCTCGTGACGTCCTGTTCCCAACTTGAGCCACGGGCGCACCTTCCTTGCGACGTCATCCAGTTTTAGACGAAGCATCAACACAGCTCGAGGACATAACGACGTTCGTGTTATGGCGACTCAAAGAACCAGCAGGCCGTCAAGAAGCAAGTCCTTTTCTTTGCTAGTTTCAGGCGTTGAAGTGCCCAAGTCTACTTCAAAGATGGTCATTTTGTGGTACCAGGAGACTATCATGAAACCGATGTCGTTGCATGCATACGCCGCGAAACTTCTTTTTGAGGCGAAGCATTGTTACCAGAGATCAGTACACACCACGGTGGTACACACTAAAGCCGGGGTCACGCTGTTCATACATCATACCAAAGACAGTCTGCATACAGATTCAAAGGCGAGTCACCGCGAGATCCGTGCTTCGAATGCCGCATGGCAATGAGTTCGAGGAGAACACTTGGCGCGCGACATTCGAACCACGGACATTGCGGTCACTCGTGTTTGCAGACTATCTTTCGTATGATATATGAGCAGTGTGACCCCGGCTTAAGAGATTTTCTGAGGCATTTATTTATAGTACTCTCCTTGAAGTCGAGGACACTAAACTAAAAAAAGAGAGAACAGATAAGTGGCTGGACGAGACTAACTTAGCCCCTGAGCCTCTGCGCACGCCGTCAAGCCGTTCTTCTAATCGGCTCCTCTGATTGCAGACCGTGCGTATTATATCGCGGGTGACGCTGGCGTTCCAAAGCACAGGCAGTATAGGCTCGCCTGCGACTGCAGTTCCTACGGGCGGAGCATCTTAGTTCATTGCACTGGTGAGTTCTTAGACATCGGTTCATTGCTTAAGAACTCCGACGATCTCTGAGCTGTCCAATCCAAGGGCATCATATATGCTGGAGGCTTCCTGACTCCGAAATGCTATTTCGTTTCCCCAGATTCACTCTAGTTAATGAAAAAAGTCATAATTAGTTCGATACGATTAAAGCACTGCAAAAACTGCGAAAACCTACGACAGGAAAAAAAGAAAACATTCAATTTTTTTTTTTGTGAAAATTATTGAGGCTTGGAATTTATATATTGCCGAATGAGATTGTGAGTGTGGAGACGGTGTCCTCCTTTGAGCATTTCATCACTACATTGTTATCTGAATAAAGACGCAAACCGCTCCTGTGGATGTGATTCGTGATGATAGATTGTTTCCAATTTGCTTCGCTATTTTCTTCTTTTTTTTTTTTTTAGAAAACTAATATTTAGCGTTGTTTCTGATTTCAAAGTTGTTGAGACCTGTCTTTGGTAGACTTTTTTCTTTTTTGCATTCTTGCGCATACTTTAGTCACTTGTACCCGCCCTGTAATAACACTCAAGAAAAAACTAACAGTATTCTAAAAATGAAAAAAAAAATGACATTGCAATGTTGGTAGTTTCCGTTCTACATAGTTTGTTCCCTATTTTTCCCCGCCATCCAAACGTGACGTCACCAGCGGGAAGCGTGGTACACGGCTGTTCATCCGGTACGCTCGCATCGAACAGCAAGCAAATTGTGGCGTTCATGCGTCTGACGTTGCTATCAGCCTCTGTTTGCTGAGTGTGGGACCTCGGCTTATGTCCTGAACTATGAGACGAAATTGAAGCAATTAAATTTTTATGAAATCGTTTTTGCAATTCAGTGCGTTCGTTTCGCGACCCGATAGCTTCGTCTAAGCGCTGGTTTAAATTCATTTTCCTTCTATTATAAGCAAGTAATTACTCTGCCAAAAAAAGGGTCCAAGCCTCTTGCAATATACGTTTTGATAATTACGCCAGCGCTGAGGGAAATGTTGGGAACACTCCGCCGATTTTCAAATCGGCTCACCTTACCTGAGTGCATATGCCACTTGTTTAATAATTGCTATAAAAAAGTAACTGCTACAGGCAACAGCAGTTGTAATTACACTTAGAGCATGCTTCTTGGTGCTTGGGTAATTTATTAAAACATCGACAGACCAGTCCTTAAAGGTGCTTCTGGTTGGTGCCATTCAGCATTCGTGCGTATGGCGCGTACTTTGCTCGCTCTCCGAGGCAACAAAATTGCGCGAACTAGGCGGCACATTTGGGCTATGATCTTCAGAAACGTTCATATAGTGTATAAAATTAAATTAACCGCATTCGTCTACGCGCGAGGCGGTGGGCAAAGTTACTGTTGATGAAGGTCGTGCTAAAATTAAAACTTAAAGGACGCCGCTACAACCATGCAAGTCAGACAGCTGCAATTTCAGGCGTACAAATTACATAAACACACTATCGCACCCTCAGACAGTTCAGAGACTTGCTTGAAGATTCCATAGCGCACTCATGACAGGACTGAACCATTAAATTGTCGGAATTTAAATAAAGGAACAAAATATTAACCGGAACAAAATCCGAACCCATATATATATATATATATATATATATATATATATATATATATATATATATATTTATTTCATGATAACTTTTACAGCTATAAATGTAAGCGCGGCTTCTCAAAACATGACGAAAATAATTCCTGGAGAAGGGGAACAAGGGGGAAAAAGGACAAACACAAATCTCCAAACACAGCTAGGTGACTGGTGCGCGACCGAAAAAATCCGCCTGGTCCGGGCGGATTTTTTCACCTATTCACCTAGCTGTGTTTGGAGATTTCTGTTTGTCCTATGTTCCTCTAGTACCCCTTTCTCCAGGGATTATTTTCGTCATTCTTGTCGAGCGCGCTTGCACCTTTGCATTTTTAATTGCATTATTATAATTCTCAAAACATGGCTATTGTAGTTTCACTAATATTTCAAAACCTTTTAACCTTTCTCTGGGAGAAAATGGAGACGTTTCACCACCCCTCTGCGAAAAGAAATTGCACGCAAACCATTTGACAAGCCTACCATCCTGTATGTCGACGCTCAAAACATGTTCCCAAGAACTCTTTAATGCCGCAGGTACAGTAAACAGCAGTGTGTACAACGATATCTCTAAAATCCAACTTGGTTTAGACAATTCACCTCTCTCCTTCGACACACCGGCATTGTCGCCTAATTGGAACCCAAAGAGTAGCCCGAGTTGGCTCCGAAGGCTTCCGCTGTCCAAAACTGACTGGCGTCGGAAAAATTTTTTTTTCACTAAGCGGCCTTTGTGAACAACAAATGTGGCCGAGCCAAATGTCGACTAGGCTTCGTTTCACCTTATGTCCAGACACCTCAGACACTACGAGCCGATGGGACAAATTAGACAGCGTGAAAAGCGTACCATAATGGTGTTCGTCATGTGTCTGCTGTACGTGTTCTATTATCGCTGAAGCAATCATAAACAGGTAGGGCCTAATGACTTGCTCTTTTGACGCCGCTTCATTGGTGCCACCGTGGTTGGTTCCAATACCACGTAGCGTCGGCTGCTTAAAATTAAGTATGCTTAGAGGGATAATGAACCGAAATTTCGAGCTCACAAAATAAGGCTGGGCGGATAGGCAGGGCACTGCAAAACCCAAAAACATCACTCGTACTACGGTATCTCTAACGGATCGCCGTATTTTTGGAAAAGAAGTAGGAAAGGAAGTAGGCGATTGAACGCGGCCGACGAGGCCGACGAGAGAAGACACGTCACGATTCTCATTCCCTCTCCTCCTCGCTACGTCCCGTCGAGCTGGTGAACCAAAGCGAGGTGGAGAGAAGCGAGGCCGCTTCCCCTTATTCTCAAATTTTCTAGGTGGACAAGGAGGTCAAAGCCTTCGCTTCATCGCGCCCTTTTTTTCCAAAAGTATACGGCCATCCGTTTGAGATATCGATGTATGAGTGATGTTTTCGAGTTCGTAGGGTCCCGTTCAACGCTTCTGAGGCCTAATTTTGCGAAATCAAAATTTCGGTTCAGTATCCCTCTAATAAGCACTATTTTCCCCGATTGCATTAGCGCCCCCCTTTGGGCGGAGGTCGTTTTGGTGCAGACTGCCACTCTTGAAGCTGTTCCAACTGCAGAAGGATACTTAACTCTCAGCTCGCGGTTCTAAACTATTCCGAGCAAAGGCGATCATGTTTTATTTGATAGCTGCCCGGCTCACGGCCCGTGCAAAAACACCTAGACGTCGTTCGCCCCCATTGCTGCTGAGCGCCTTCAAACATTTTTTTTTTTTTTGCTACGAAAACAAGTATACAAAAAGCAAAATAGCTTTTTTTCTGGCACTGTTTGTGCAATCTACTCCGGAGCATAGATTGCTAGCTATCCATTGCAGAGGTACCTTTAACCTTGAAGCTGCGGAAAAATAATCTCGGTCGCTTTTCGACCTGGAAAGCCACTTGGCGGCTTCCTGGGTCGCCAGTCCGCCTTCTCACATGTCACGTACGCGGATAAAGTAGGAATTTTTCGATGATGCCTCTAGATAGTCGCCTCGTGGAACTTACGCGACCGGAGTAATTTGAAAACTCAATACCACTAAATAAATTTTTTATTTTTATAGAATAGGTTGAGAAAGAGTGAATTATTCGGTCTACCAATTTCCAGCCAAATCTAAGTTTATAAAAAAAAAATTGGCGCGGAGTTTCAAGCTTTGATCTTCATCTATCGCTGAAATGAAGACCGCTCCTCGTCAGTCCTTCCATTCTTTTGGTTTTACAGAAGACTGTCTGGCTTGCGGATGAAAGAACAGCGTATTCACGAATTTTTCGGCATCCTTTGCGAACCCAAACATTCGTGAATACGCTGTTCTTTCATCCGCAAGCCAGATATCGGTCTTGTCTGAGTTTCACGATATTGCTTTTCCTATGCATTTTGTATCTAATACATTCACGCGCACACATGTACAAGCAAACACTGGAACAGGTGGGACGTGACTCAAGTTGCTTACACTCCGTCCGAGCCCTTTGCTTCATGACGCTCCTCGATCAAGCAGCAGGAGGAACAATTGAGGCTAGTACACTTGCCTGCGTGTTCCTTGACATAGTACCTTTTGTGTGTGTGTGTGTGTCTGGGGACGGGGTATATTGAGGGGCTCTAGATTGAATATTTCTGAGAAACTCGACTCAAAAAAAGTTGCGTTTCTTGCCAACAACGTGCGAAGAAACGAAAGCGATAGCTGTAGCTCGGTTGCGCAATGCGGGTGGAGTGGCGCCGTCATGCACCCGAGGACGCGGTTAATTGCTAGAGCCGTCGTGGTTGCGTCGTGGATGCCACTGATGGCCACCACCAGTGCACGGTGATTCGTGAAGTAAGTGGGTAAACGCGGTGGAAGCTTCTAAAACCACGCAACATTACGCGTAGCAGCTGGATACTGCCAAAGTGGGATTTCGCATAACGCGACTAATGTTTGAAAACAAGTCTTTCAAGCAGACGACACGGAAGGCTCTCCTTTACGGTCGCGTCGTTACTGGCGGGATGCGGGGGCTCCCCGTCTCCGCACTGCGCGGCCGACGGGAAAACTGGAAAAACCCAGCTTCGCTGGCCTCGCGCAAAGAGCGATGAAAAGGGCTTTTCCGTAGCGGTGATGAGAGCGGACAAGGTAGAAATCTCTGCAAAGTGCCTTGTTTCGCTAAATTCGTACACACGAACACTAAGCGCGCTGTAGTTCGTTACTTCACGTCGGAGTTAGCAAAGGGCGTCCTTGAGAGTGTCTCTCTCAAATAGTTCCTTCTCGTCGACAGAAGGCGTCTTCTCGCATTGTTTGGTGGTCTACTTCCAATGAAGGCTGAACTTCATAAAGCGAATATGCGGCGAAGAAACGACGAACTTCGCCCGGCGGCGCTTTCGCTTTGCGCGCGGCACAACTGCAAATCTTCTGACGACAGGCGCACAGCGAACGCGGCCGGGTGAAATTCGTTGTTTTTTTTTTTTTCGCGCAATGGAGTCCAACCTTAAAATTTTTTTCCTCTTATACGCAAAAAAATCCAGGCCGTTTTGGCGACCCCGAGATGTTTCTTGCCGTTCGTTCTCAGATCATGTCCTTTTTAGAACAACTGGCGACCCTCAAGCGTAACTATAAAGCATTTACGTATGCGAGTGAACGCAAACGCGTTCACGCGCATTGCTTGTTCTTACGCGTGTGAGAAAAAAATCGCGTCGCGCTCGCGCCGCCGGGCGGCTTAACCATAGCAACCGCCGCTAACACTGTCACGTCACCGCTTGTCACGCTGCCACGTCACAGTGTCAGTGACGATTGCTATGGTTACGTCGCAGGGCGGCGCGACGCGGCGCGGTTTTTGCTCGCATGCATTTAGTGGCACATCCTTCGGCCGCGATGTCGAAGAGCCACCACCCGCTTGTGCAGGCACGATGGCCGCCAGCGACGATCAGCGCAATCGTTCACGTGGCCAAAGGGAAGAGATTTCTCTGTACTGCCGGACGCCCCTCATCGAGAGCCTGACGCTGCAGGGGAGGCACTTGCCCGGGGTACCCGTCTACCTGAAGCTGGAGAACACGCAGCCTACGGGGTCCTTCAAAATGCGCGGGCTCAGCCGGCTCTGCCAACACGTAAGATTCTCCCCACTCCCGACGCCGAATCAACGCGGAAATGCGGATGGTTTTTACTCGGTTGGAAACTGGTACGAAAGAAACAAAACGCACAAAGGACGCAAATAATACAAGTACACTTTTTCTTTTCTGTAGCAGAGTTTTTGCATGTGCGTTCACGTTCTTCGTGTGGTTTATGCTGTCTCTATGCTCAGCGTAATTTTGAGCAGTTGTCAGATTACGCCCCCTTTTTGCCACCCCTCTTTCCGTCCTCGAATTAAATGTGAAAGTTAAAAGCATCCATGGGCCTACCAACCGGGGGGGGGGGGGGGGGGGGGGGAGTCACATGCCTTGCCCCCCCTCCCCCTCTGTTCTCCGAGTGGGGGGGGGGGGGGGGGGGGGGCAAGGCATGTATTTTGCACCCCCCTGTAGCAGCCGCCTCTTGGCAGGGTAAACGCTGACCGGCGGCGCCCAAAGGAATAAAGGGTACCGCTGCCCGGCCCTAGGGGGGGGGGGGGAGAGTCTGGTTTGCCCCCCCACACATACACACTGAAAAACAAGTTGGTACGCCACTGAAAGCATCCATTCATCGTTTCACCAAACCACAACACCTCGGGGATTTTTCCTAAATCACATTCACGATGTATACGTATACGAAAACGAAAACAGGCGACGCGGGCTTGCGTTTGCGGATTTTACGAACTTCCCGCATCGGTTACTTGTTCTACTCACAGACAGATGGAAGCACTAAGCCAGGCGCGTAGAGCGCACATGCGACGTTGTATATCGCATAAGGAGTGCGGTGAGAAATACAGAAGAGAGCTGTCAGAGGTGCTTTGAGGATGATGATGATGATGTAAACTTTTATTTGAATATGGAAATATCCGAAGATGGGTGGGGCCCCTAGTCCAGGGCTCCAGTGCTGGCTACTAACCGTTCTGCTAACAATCCTTTTTTTTTTTTTTTTTTTGTAAGAGATATCCGATTGTTTTTGCTAATTGTGTCGCGCGCTCTACGCACACTTCCGTGATCGGGGACGTGTACTAGTTCCAATTTCGCTAGCAGAAAAGTAAGCCACTGAGATCTGGCCTTCTCTGAATTTGGTTACAGTGCTAAACGCATGATAAGATGGTAACTCATAAAGGCGCTAGAAGGAAGGCAAATTTCAAACGCAAATGACATTTAACAGAATGTTTTATGGTAAATTATCGAATTTCAAGTACGTGGTTCAAGTATGCAGGGAGTTGAACTGATGCGGCGGTGTGAATAGCAATTTATTTCTTTGATTCCAACGTATTAAGCTGTTCAGTGACCTTAATACAAAGCGTTTGCCCTGGAGCGTTTCAGACTGCGTCGAAGAACGAAACCGCTTCACATACCTCACGTCAGCACCTCTGAGAACAAACACTATACAGTCCCATGTGCAGTCGCCTTGTGGTCGGCTTAGCCTTGGCCATCTCCTCTCCACAAATCCTATTGGGAAAACTAGGTTTGTCCACGTCCCAAGTTCCCTCCAAAATACACGTTTCGTTTCTACTGGCAGGGGTCTCAAACTCTTAGAATATGAAGGCCAGGTAGCCCACCACCGAAAGGACGAGGGCCAACGGAGGCGGGGTGCAATATTTTGCTATTATGGGACAAAAATAAACAAACATACATCATCGGTGTTTCAAGTTGCAAGGCAGCTGGCTCTCCCAAAGACACCTCAAACATTTTTAGACAAGGGACCTTATGCTTTTTGTGAGCTCATTGATTTGCCCTGTTTAGCTTTCATTTGCATATACGACTACTTCGGCCCCACGCCTGATGTCATAAAAAAGATTTAAAATACCACCATACCACACTACTGGCTGTTTTCAATGAAACGAGAGCAAACAGATGCACCATCCTTGTCCTGTCGCACAATTCCCTAGTCTGAACATGCATGAAAATAATATCTCTTCATGCGGCAGTTTTTGCTTGCCTGACAATTTTTATAGGAGCATTATAAGAAAATACTTTAATTTTTGAAGGTACTGTCTGACAGCTGGCTAGAAGCCCCAGCTCATAGTTCTATCTTTGGCCGTTACTCTTGCAGTGCAAGAATCCACGCAGCCGAGGTGCCTCCTTGAGCAAGAGCTCGCACTTATATACCTACTAAAAAAAATAAAAAAAAAATAGGTGTCGTCATACACCCTTTTGTTCCATATAAGGCGCCCCAAACTTCAGTTTGACGTACAGCGCATTATAGTCGAACAGAAGACCCCGAATTTTACGAGGGGCTTGATAACGGTGCGATATAACGTATTAAACAGCTAAAGTATGCATCGAAAATCACAGAAAGAAAACACTGAGGTTTCGCAGTGGGACCAAGAAAACCCCGATACCTTGTTTTTTTGTAGTGAGTAACACGTACATTAGCTGTTTTAGTGAAAGTTGGTGACGTCGGTCCGATGTCAATGCGCTGTCCGTCGAACTGAAGTACTAGTGGTATTGTCATTCCGGTTAATATACATAAGAAAGGGCTGAGAAGCAAATACATAGACAAAGCAATATTTGATTTAAAAAAAAGAAGAAATAGTAAAAATGCGTGAACAAAGCAGAGCTCCTATTCGAGGATTACGAGACGGAATGTCCAACGAGCCTGAATGTCCAGCAAGACGAAAGATCCAATAATGGATCTTCCGTCTCGTTGGACATTTAGGCTCGTTTGACATTCCGTCTCGGTTGGATCTTCTGTCTCGTTGGACATTCAGGCTCGTTGTACATTCCGTCTCGGTTGGATCTTTCGTCTCGATGGACATTCAGGCTCGTTGTACATTCCGTCTCGGTTGGATCTTTCGTCTCGATGGACATTCAGGCTCGTTGTACATTCCGTCTCGGTTGGATCTTTCATCTCGATGGACATTCAGGCTCGTTGTACATTTCGTCTCGCCTGTCACGTGATAGAATAATTTGCCTTCTTAAATGTACAGACTTGTGTGTATATTTAGTCCGCATTCATGCAGACATTGCCGTAGTTAAATACTACATACATACATCATACTAAAAGTTACATACATCACACTAAAATGTCGTGCCACAAAAGCCGATTTGACAGACAAAGAAACAAAGCAGACACAAATATTATAATTTCATCTATAGGAAGGCTTGATGGTTAGTTAGCCGAGTGCCGATGCGCAGCTATGTACCAATCGGTTAAAGGTGTCGATTGTACGACGCCAAACGCTCCTTTGATATTAACAGTTCAAATGTTTGGAATGTTCCGATGACATAGGTCAGCCAATTTGAAATATATAATAGGGATGCAGTGTACGGGTGTTCTAGCGGATCGCAATGGGGGGACGTCTATGAAAGCCGCGCTTCAGATCCCAGGAATTTCTAGTTCAGTCCTCATCCGCGCCGATTTCGATTTCTATAGATGAGCTACATACGGAGATCCGCATTGTAAACACATGACCGCCCGCCAGCGCCACTGACTATGCGCAGAGTCAATATTTAATTTTTTGAAAGGAGTTTTGAAAGCTGTGGGTGCGAGGCATCAAGAGTTTGCACAAGCGTAATTTCCCACTAATAAAAAGATATAGATATTTTTATTAAAAATAAAATCTGCATCTAACGCACCTATAAATGCATAGGAGTGGTGGCTTGTGTGACCCGACAATTCCTGAGTAAATGCAGAACAATTGTGTGAATTTGACAAATTTTTATTTTTGTTCGTTTATCTTTGGAACAGACAACTACTCACTGTACACTGCAATCGTCAGTAGTCACATACGCATCCATTCCCTACCAATAGGTTTGTATGTCAGTGAGTAGAGCGATAATACTTTTTGCATGTGACATGCATAGTGGTTTTAAGAAGCCCATGTAATTTAACTGGCTTCTGGAAGCACTCCAAAGCTCGCCATTCTGTCCAGGTAGTTCATGACGTCTTGGTAGGTGGGAGCTTGACTGCTGATAAAGGACGCGAACGCATCGATCTCGGCGTGCAGCAGAAGGTTCACACCCGGATGGTCTAATAGCCTACATCATGTGTGAATATAACAATAGATCGTTCCACGTGGCTTTCTATTGTTGTATTGCGCCACGAATCCGGTCACTTTGTCGAAATTCCATTGGTCTCTGGACAACTGGAAGAAGAACAATTCGTCCCGATTCCCAGAATGAAGAATGGGGCGAGAGTGCCCGTTTGTCGAACTCTCGAAGAGACTTGATTAGGGTTGGGTGTGTAGATTGCCGGTGACAGTGGGGGTCAACAGTGAGACCTTCTTTCCAAAAAAGAGAGGATGACAAATACAGCTCTCAGAATTGGCAAGGGTCCGATGGTGAATCGTACACGGGTTATTCAAAATTATAAAAGTCGGGTTCTTCATGAATATGTTCACTCGCAACTCTAGCATTATCGGGAAGACCGAACAAGGGGCTGACTTTCTTATCCCGTGGTCATATGTGCACTTGTAATGTGCGCATATGAATAAATCACAGTCAGACTGTCGCAGCGGCTCTGTGACAGAGTTAGAACAAGTTGAAATTCGATCGCAGCCTTGGTGTGCTACCTGGGCGCGTATCGGTGCGATTGCTGCATGCCACGTGACCAGAAAAGGCAGAAACGACGGAAGCCAACCCTAAAAAAGTATTGTATTAATTATTAATATTACCTACTTGTTGCTTAATACATGGTTCACTGCGACAGCAATCGCTTTGGTGGCCGAAGCATGCGAAACTAATCGTCGCGATAAGCGTCAGTGTGCCGAATCCTCCGCACAATCACCGAACAAAAGCTCACCAATTGAGGAGATTAGCTGCACAAAGGCTTAATGGAAGGAACTTTGTATCCTATGACTGATTTTGATATGGGGATCGAATTTTTGTTTCTGGGGACCGAGAAGTCGAATCAAAATGTCTAAAACTTTCACGTTCGTTTTGTAGAAAAGAAGAAAACAAAAACTACAATTTAGAGTAATTACACATACTACACCGACTTCACCTAATAATAATTATAATACTAAAAATTCAATCAGGCGTTTTTCTCCCATGCG